TCACCGGGGGACCCCGTCCAAAGGAGGGTCGGCGAAACCTGCGGCCGCTAGGAGCGTGGCCACAAGTTAAGCTGGTGAGCAGCGTAACGAACAGCGAATGGCCACAGAAAATGGGGGGCATCGGCATGAATCATGGAGGTACAGTGGCGGAAACAATTGTCCGTATGTTTTGCATAAATTTGAGTTTTTAGGCTTTAAGATCACTATACATTAAGAATTAATGTTTAATGGTGGTACGATTTGGGAGGGGCACATAGTGGATGTGTTCATAGCACAAATATCCAGAATAGTACATTGGATCTAACTCACATCCCAAAAGATATACAAAGGGTACATCCGGACAAATAGTTCCTAGCAGGGAGAGCTAACTTCATAAGTGTGTTTCTAGTTCCTAGCCCACCGACCTTTGGCCTTGATCACTGCCCGCACCCTCCTAGGCGAGCTGTCGATGAGGCTAGAGCAAACCTCGGCATGGATCTCCTCCCATTCTTCCTGGACCAACTCTTAAAGCTCTAGCATTCTAGAGAAATGCCTTTTCTACTTGGCTAGCTCCCTTTTCAGGTAAGCCCAGAGGTTGAGGTTTGGTGAGAAATAAGGCCACTCCAGGGCTACATACGCATGTTCTCCAAGTCATTCATTCACGAGGCATAACAAATTCTTGGGGTCATTGTCCGCACCGAGATGACCTCAGAGGAAAAAATGCTATAGAAATAGAGGGTCAATTCGAGTTCGTGATTCAAAATGCCCTCATATAGGGGCCTCTCCATGCGTCTGTCAATCTTGCGTATGAACCCCACCCCCGCACATGTCACACATCCCCACACCATCACTGATCCTCGTCCCCATGGTTTACCGTCTGTTTGATTTGGTGGTGCTGTAGGGTTGTGCCTTCACGAATCCAGTCTAACGCGCGGCCATTGGAGCTGGAGCAGTTGATGTTGGTCCCATTTGACTAGATCACATGCTTTCAAACACTAATTATCCACTCAGCATGTGACTCTACGAATTGCAGCCGGCCCCTAATATTTTTCCAGAGCAATCATGGCTTCTACGACTGTTGCACCGTGACTAGACCCACTGACCCTAGTGTGTTTTTAATGGTGCAAGGATGCACAGTCAACCGTGCAACGTTACCCTCAGTTTCGCGGTGTCTACGCTAGATTTGGCCGCTCTATTCGTGATTTTACCCTACAATGGTATGATGAAGACAATCTGTAAGAAGATGCGCTCGACCGGCTACTTGCATCTTTGGCCACACCTCAGCATGGCTAGTCTCAAAGATACCATTCAATCCAAATTCGTCCACAATACTCTTGCCTACGCCCAAAATTTTCTCGATTTTCCTAGTGCTCACCCCCTTATGCTAAATGGTGGGTCCAGGAAGAGTGCAAGAAGTTCCCTACCGAGATTTGTACTAACCTCATAGGTAACATGCCTAGGAGGGTGCAGGTGGTGATGAAGGCCAAAGGTCGGTGTGCTATGTACCAAATACGCAATTCTGAAGTTTGCTCGCTCTCCTTGGAACTATTTGTCCGGATGTACCCTTTGTATATCTTTTGGGATATGAGTTAGATCCAATGTACTATTCTTGATATTTGTCCTATGAACATATCCACTATGTGCCCCTTCCAAATCGTACCACCATTAAACATTAAGGCTTAATGTAAAGTGGTCTTAAATCCTAAAAACCCAAATTTATGCAAAACATATGGACAATTGTTTCCGCCACTGTACGAGCAACCTCCATGACCAAGCCGATGTGGCGTTCAGCAACCCCATTCTGCTGTGGCGAGTCCGGCAAGGTGTACGACTGGGTGATGCCCTCCGCACGACAGAACTGTCCAAGCCGACCAGAGGCGAACTCGCCGCCACGGTCAGAGTGGAGACACAGCACAGGGAGACCGCGGTAAAGACGCGCAGCTACAATCCACGGGAGAAGAACGTCGGGCTCGTCGGCTTTCCGCTCCAGGGGAAACACCGTTGTGTAGCGCGTGTAGTCGTCGACGAGCACAAGAAAGTAGCGCTCACCGCGCGGTCCGGGGACAGGGGCTGGGCCCCAAACGTCCAGGTGCAGGGTCTGAAGGGGAGCAGTAGCAGGGCGAAGCGAGGAGGAGTGAGGGGCACGGCGGAGCCGGCCCTCGACGCAAGGTGTGCACGGTGGCGCAGGCGAGGGGGGAAGTGCGGGGAGCGACTCGGGGAGGCCTAAAACATGACCGCGCTGGGACATGTGACATAGACACGGGAGAGCAGGGTGACCTAAGCGGTGGTGCCAGAGAAGGGACGGGTGTGTGAGGGACCGACACGAGCAAGCTGCAGCGACCTGGGAGGACGCACCAACCGGGGGGGAAGCGGTGTCGAGGGTAAACAGACCGGATACCGGGTCCCGGGGGAACGTCGCAAGGGGGGAACCTGAGACTGCCTCGGTACAGACAGTGAACCGCTCGTGCCCAGGGAACGTAGTGGTGACGCCGAGGTCCTAAAGACGGCCGACACCAACCAAGTTCCTGGAGAAGGAGGGAACATGGAGGCCTGTAAGGGAGTCTGAGGGAATGGCTGGATAGGGAAGGGAAGTGGAGCTGCGAGCGACGACAGGACCCGCAGAGGGGTCAGCGAGAGCGACAACAGCAAGCGCAGCAAGTGGCGTGAGCGTGGAGCGGACGCGGAAGAAGCAGGCAGAAGCACCGGAGTCGCGAGCGAAGGACAGCGAGGCAGTAGCGGAGGTTGGGAACGGAGCCGGTGCAGAAACTTGGCTAGGCAAACTAGGCAGTTCTACTCCTGACGCAGCAGGGGAGGCTAAGCTACACAAGGGTGCTATGCCTAAACTAGAGTACACAGGGTAATAAGATCCAGCATTACTAGAAGCGTCAGCATACAAGGCATGCAAAGCAGCACCTACAGTATCTGATCCATATCTAACTCAAAGATCGGCACGCCCTGGCGAAGCAGGCTGTGCCAGTCGGGGAGGTCCGGGGCCGGGCCAAAGCGACGACGAAAGTGATCGTCGAGGCGGCGGAAACAGTGGGCAGTCGGGTGCGGGCGGCGGCATAGAGTGCCGCGGAGAGGTCCGGTCTGAAGCTGGTACTGGCAGGTCACACCAACGGAGCTGCCGGTAGACGCCAAGCTGCGCGGGCCGCCACCATGGCCACCACCTACGGAGGTGCCGGGCCAACCCGGGGGAAGACGAGCCCACGGCTGGGGCTGGGACAGCTGCGGCGACGGCTGCGACTGCTGCGACGACTGCTGCGGCTGCTCCTGCTGCTGGGGCGACGGCTGCTGCTCTTGACTAGTTGAGGCAGTCCCCTCAGTAGAACCACTGTCCCCGGCACCACCACCACTACCACCAGCTCCACCACCACGCCCTCCCTGGCTGCCACAACCGGCGCGGCGCGGGCGCTGCTGCGAGTGCACTGCAGCGGCAGTCTCGGTCAAAGGGGTCGCAGTGGCGACCGCAGCCGAAACGTCAGTAAACGTGCACTGGGAGGGGGCACAGCCTTGAAAGATAGAGACCGCCGGTGCACCGCTCGACTAAGCGATAGTGCGCTGGCGAGTCTCGATCTCGGTCAGGGCGGTGACAAAGGCTGTCAAAGTAAGGTCACCCGAGTGCTGGCTAAGGATGTAGTCGCGAGCACTAGCAAGGCGGTCAGGCAGGCGCATAGCGATAAAGTAGAGGGTCATGCAGAAGTGAGGAGGGAGCACGGTGAGCTGGGCAGCAGTGCTAGCAGTGCGGTAGCGAGACTCGAGGGCGCGCAGGTGAGTGGCAAGATCAGCAACAGTAGGGAAGGAAGCAAGGTCTGGGAAAAGCATAGGAAAGAGCAGGCGGTCTGCAGTAGCGGAGGCAGGCGTGGAATAGCGAGCACCTACAGCATCTAGGTAAGCCTTGGCTGTATCAACTGTAGTGAAACGCGAACGCTCAGGCACAGGGAGGGCGTGACTAATAGCGACCTGAGCAACTGCATCGCGAGAGTCCCAGATTGCACAGGCAAGTGCAGCAGCAGAGAAAGCCTCACGCTCAGTAGAGGTGGGGTCAGCAGGGAGGGGAGCAGGTGCAGGGGGCGGGGGAGCAAGCCATCAACATGGACAACTAAGGAGTGCCCATCCTGACGCTGACCTGTGAGGTGACGGCGGAGATCGGACAGCCAGGCGGCGAAGTCAACCGCGTGGCCCTCCGCGTCCAGGCGGAGGACGAAGTCAGCCATCGTGCAGAATCAGCGACACAGGGACACAACGGCACAGCTCCACATGACAGCGGCAAGACGCTCCAGCGCGGCAAGCAGACGACACGAGCCGCATGAGCCGGGCGGGCACTGGGAGTTGCGGGCCGCAGGAGCCGGGCGGGCGTATCTGGGCCGGGGACGCGATAGGAGAGGCCGGGCGGGCGCTGTGGGACAGACGGGCGCAACTGGCCGGGCGGGCGCGAGGAAAGGCCGGGCGAGGGCTAGGAGGGGCCAGGCGGGCGCTAGGAGAAGCCGGGCGGGCGCTAGGAAAGGGCCGGGCGGGCGCTAGGAGGGGCCGGGCGGGCGCTAGGGGGTCAGGCAGGCGCGGTGGGGCAAGGCGGGCTTGGCGGGGCTAGGTGGGCGCGACGGGGCCAGGCGGGCGCGTTGGGGCCAGGCAGGCGCGACGGGGCCAGGCGGGCGCGTTGTGGCCAGGCGGGCGCGACAGGGCCAGGCGGGCGCGGTGGGGCCAGGCGGGTGCGACGAGGGCCAGAAGGGCGCTACGGGGCCTGGAGGGCGCACCGGGGGCCAGGAGGGCGCTACGGGGCCTGGAGGGCGCGACGGGGGCCAGGAGGGCGCTACGGGGCCTGGAGGGCGCGACGGGGGCCAGGAGGGCGCTACGGGGCCAGGGGGGCGCGACGGGGCCAGGCAGGCGCTAAGGGGCGGGCGGGCGCTACAGGCCGAGCCAGGCTAGGTAGGTAGGGGGAGGCGAGTGGCTAGGGCCCGGGCGGAAGCGGGTGGGTGGACCTAACGTACTCGATACCATGTTAGAATACGAGAAATGACGACTAGAAAGGGAAACAGGGAACATATAGCAGTTGGGTTGTACTCACTAGGAGCACAATACTAGCCTATAACTCCTACATGCATGACATGTATAAGTTGACAAGAAGCACATCGGTCATAGCATCAAGGCGACACTTGCAGCTCTGATGGTGTCTGACTAAACAAGAGCACAATTTTATTCTGCCAGTGTTCTTTACAATCGCATAAGTCCCTTGATAACATCTCACATCATTCCTGCTGCAGTTGGCACAGGAGCAGGCTGCAGGCTAAAGTGCCTCTGCATCAGCACACCCACATCCTCAACCTCCAAATAACTCTCAACCCTAGGCTCGTCCACGTCATCCCTCCACACTCTCACGTTCGGCGCCGCCTTGCACTTCCCCATGCACTTGCACCCCTCCACATGCACGCCTGTGCCCGCAGCCTGCGCCTGGAAGGCGGACAGGATCTCAGCCGCACCGTTCTTCTTGCACTTCCCGCCAATGCACACCTCCACGTCCCCCACTACAGTCACACCCATTGCCACGGCCCCCTGCAGCTGCGAGGCCGCCGTGTCAGGGAAGACAGGCGTGGCCGGAAGGGGGGAATCGGGCGCGGCGGGCGGAGATTGGGGAGGCGGGGACTGCACAGGGGGGAGTTGCACGGGGGTTTGAAGGGCGGACGGCAGCACGGAGTTGCCAAAAGTAGTGCCTCCAGCGATCGCTGAAACCACGTCTTCAATCTCCCACACCCTGTGGGATTCGGCGGCTGGGTTGGCGTGTGAGGAGAGAACCGACGCCAGTGGACTCGCTGGAGCGGTGGGGAGGGAAGACGTGCCCATCACTGACTGCACAGAAGAAGAAGCGGCGGAGACGGCGGCTGGGGATGCGGCTGCGGCGGGAGGGGCAGTGAGAACAGCGGCACCGGCAGCAGCAGCGCCGGTGGCAACAGCTGATACCGCAACGGGAGTACCGATAGAACCCATAGTCTCCACGGTCCCCATGGTCCCAGCGGTCCCCATGGCGCCCTGCTGCCGCGCCTTACGGCGCTCCATGCGCCGGGCCTTCATCCCCCCCATACCGCCGTCGCTGCTTGACGAGGAGGAGGAGGACGACGAGGACGACGACGAGGAGTCCATCATCTTCTTCTGCATCTGCTTCAGCGACTTGAGCTCCGCCTTGATCTCCTTCAGCTCGCGCAGCACTGTTGACACGAACTCCTGCGCGGAAACACGGGTCAAACAAGGGTCGGCATGCGCGGAACTGATCAGAAATGGACGCCTTGTACAGAGCGCGCTGGCCGATTCAAGGAACGAAGACAGGAACGAAACAAATGGCAGACGGGTCCGGGTGAGTGAGCTCTTACCGCGTCAACCGAGACCGCCGTTGCAACGCCAGCCTGCTGCTCCGGCGAGTCAGAGGCTTCGCCCATCGTGACGAACTGCGACTCCAGCGTTGCAGCTCGGGCTTTAAGCGACTGCTTCGCCTCCTTGAAGGCTTTGCCCTCCTTGTCCGCCTTCTTGCATCTCACCGGCTCGTAAAACGCCCGAGATCCGTCATCCTGGAAAGCCGCCACGTGTCTCAGCAGCGGCACGCGGTGCTTCGCGCGAACAGCGCAGCTGCTGAGACGAGCGGAGGAGGCATGGACTGGCCGGCAGCCTGGCGACGCTGGCTGGGACGTGCTCCCTCGGCCGGCTGAAGACGGTGCGAGCGACGCGGAAAGGCATGACCCTGGCGCGACTGGGACAACGGCAGCCATGGCGTGCAGGGCGACGACTACAAGCGAAGTGTTAGGACGAATTTTGAGCAGAGCAGCAGCACTCAAAGCACGAACGAAACCCTAATCTTGAGGGTGGGGTGGGAGGGTTGACGGGGCAGCTGTTTCTTGAAGGAAAGTGAAACTTCGAGAACAACCCCTCCATCCAAACCACCTGGGCTTGGTGCAGTCGCTCTGCCCTGAAGTGCAGTGTGTCGGTTGGTGGAACATCAGTGAGTGGATTCGTCGCGTGACGCGTCATGCATCCGTCCTCGAAAGCCGATGTGGCAAAGCGAGTTCACGCATCTAGGGTTTCGCGAGTCACCCCTGGTGCTTGGCGAGGATCAAACGGGTTGGTTGACGAGTCCACGGAGGCACACCGACACCTCACTGAAACAATGAACAGCGGGCCGCTCAACTGACACGATGCCAACGTGTAACAATTGCGCTGCTGCAAATATGACGTGTCGAACAGTCGCTGCGGTCAACTCGTGTCTGGCTTGCCGTTCGTGTGTGGCGAACATGGTCTCCGCACACGAAGGGCTGACTGGTCTGAAAGAATCAAATGCCCCACAATGGACCTTTCTTGGGACTGATGGGTGAGTGTTGTCTGTACACTGCAATAACGAGTGGAGAGAACAGAACAATTCGTAACAAGTATTTGTTTGCACTTATCAAAAACCTTCACACTCCCACTCATCGCTTGCCCTGGTCCAAAGTTGCCCTCTGTAGTACGGCGAGAACATACTGGTACTGCAACCTTAGGTGTGCAAATGCCACTACAGCTATCTTTGCATTACAAATACATAGCATTCACTATGTGTATTTACCAGTGATATGGCCAATCATCAAATGGCCATTCTGGTTGTGGAAGTGCTATGGGCCTTGCCTCTGAATCAGGTGCAACAACATGCGATCGGCTTCAGGTAGCTCCAAGTGGTGAAACCATCGTGAGCGAGAGTGAGGGCCAGAGTGAGGGTCACAGTGAGAGTGAGAGTGCGGCACCAGCTCCTGGGCCACGTCTGTAGCCTGCAGCCCTCGGTCCTGTAGGGCCTGCAGAAAGGCTGCCATGGTGAGAGGGTTGCGGCGAGTAGAGGCTATGAGGGCATAGGGAGGCGAAGGGAGGGGGATGGGTGAGGATGAGGCAGCATTGCCAGTCACGCCAGCAGCTCGTGCCATGCCAGCTGGGCGTTCATCTTGCCAGGTGTCACGTTCTGTGCATCCAGTTTGCGCTGACGTGGACAGCAGGGCTGCCAGCGCATCAGCGAGGGCGGGCACCACAGAGGGGTCGTACACGATGTCAGCACCGAGGATGACGTCAGCAGAGATGGTGGATGCGAGTGACGGTGTCATGTCTTCCCAAGATAGCTGCTGCACATGCACTCTTGCACCCTCATCCGCCCTCGTACCCTCATGCTCGCTTCTTGCCCCATCCTGCACCCTCGCACCCTCATGCATTGCCGCACCGTCTGACCCCAGACCTCCCTGCTCCTTCTCGCCATGCTGCTTGCCTTGACAGGAGGTTGCGGAGAGAGGAGGGGAGACTGCCGCATCGGAGGTGAATTGGAGCCCGTTGATGGTGAGATTGGCGCAGAGGTTGGCGAGAGACTCGCTGCTGGCGTCGGTGAGGATGAGCTGGAGGAAAGGGGGAGGGGTGGCGGCAACAAGGAAAGAGAGGCAACGAGAGAAATGAGAGAGCAAGGGCGGGAGAGAAGTGACTGAAGCAGCAGGAGAGAGGCATGGCTGGCGACGGTGGAGATGATGTTGATGCAAGGGGAAAGGGTGGGAGTGACGGGGTGTATTTTTGAGGCGCCTCAAAAATAGACTCCTCACGCAGGGTGGGGGTGACGGGGTGGGGGGCACGGAAACAAGAGCGGCGGGTGGATAACGAGAGAAGAGTCTGGCAAAAAAACGGGGTGAAGACACATACCTATCTCTCCTCTACAGCACACACACATACCTTACACACACTCTCTCTCTTCCTCCCCACTCCACAACACACGCACATACCTGACACTACTCCGCACTACCCACGCACCTTGGAAAGAGGGAGGGGAGCAAGGCAGAGCCCCAGGAAGCCACAGCCGGACCCCAGGTCAAAGGCACAGAGAGGCGGTGGGAGTCCCATGAGAGGCTCCCACAGGGAGCATTGCCTTGCTCACCCCGACGAGCGCAGAGTGCTTTTGAGAATTCTCAAAAACACTCTGCAAAATGAAGGACTTCGTTATCCTCGGCTCCCACAGGGAGCATTGCCTTGCTCACCCCGACGAGCGCAGAGTGCTTTTGAGAATTCTCAAAAGCACTCTGCACAATCAAGGACTTCGTTATCCTCGGCTCCCACAGGGAGCATTGCCTTGCTCACCCTGACGAGCGCTGAGTGCGTTTGAGAATTCTCAAAAACACTCTGCAAAATGAAGGACTTCGTTATCCTCGGCTCCCACAGGGAGCATTGCCTTGCTCACCCCGACGAGCGCAGAGTGCTTTTGAGAATTCTCAAAAGCACTCTGCACAATCAAGGACTTCGTTATCCTTGGCTCCCACAGGGAGCATTGCCTTGCTCACCCCGACGAGCACACGCCTTGGCGAGCAGGATGCATGCTCTGTGTCGACTCCAAACTCCCTTCCTCGCCTGGACCAGCTCACACCCTGGAAAGTGGAAGGGGAGCCCGGCACAGCCGCAGCAGGCCACAGCCGGACCGCAGCTCAAAACACACAGGGGCGGTGGGAGAGCCTTTAGAGACTCCCAATAAGAGCAGTACCCTCCGCACCCGGACATGCACGCACCTTGGAGAGCGGGAGGGGCGCGAGACACAGCCCCAGCAGCCCACAGCCCGACCCCAGCTCCAGGCACACAGGGGCGGTGCGCGGTTCAAGGGGCGGGCTGGAGGGCAGGAGAAGAGAGGCGTGGGCGAGAAGCGCCTCTGCCAGGAAGAAAGAGGCGGGCCACGCGGTGCAGCTGATGGGGGCAGGCGAGGGGGGGGATGGCAGGGGGGGTGGGGGGAAGGGGGGTTTGTTACGAAGAGAGGAGGACACGGGTTAGAGGGAAAGAGAGGTGGGAGGGAGCGCTGGGTGGGGGAGAAGAGCCTCTGCAAGGAAGGAGGCGGGCCACGCTGTGCACCTGATGGGAGGAGAAAGTGGGGGGGGGGGAGAGGGGGGGAGTTGGTGAGAAGAGATGAGGCTGAGCAGGCCGCACAGTTGATGGGGGAGGACGAGTGGGGATAGGGGGGAAGGGGGGGAGGAAGGGGGTTTGCCAAGAAAAAAGGAGAGGGCTGGGAGGGAGAGAGGGTGGGAAAGAGAGTGGGGTGGGAGGGGGAGGAGAGCGTTTGCGAAGAAGAAAGAGGCTGGTCAGTGCGAGCAGCTGGCGGGGGAAGAAGAAGGGGGGAGGGAGAGGGGGGGTTGGTGTGAAGAGGGGTGGGGGAGGAGAGCCGAGGGGGGGGGGGAGAGGGGGAGAGGAGTAGGTGAGAGGAGAGGAGGGAGGGAGAGAGAGCAGGACCGCTTGAGAGAGGTGAGAGAGTGAGGGGTGAGAGAGGGAGGGGTGAGAGAGTGAGGGGTGAGAGAGGGAGGGGTGAGAGAGTGAGGGGTGAGAGAGGGAGGGGTGAGAGAGTGAGGGGTGAGAGAGAATAGCCTTTGCAAAGAAGGAAGAGGCTGGCCAGGCCGTGCAGGTGATGGGAGAGGAGCAGCAGGGGAAGCAAGGGGGGACGGGGACGGGGAGAGGCGGACGGGGAGAGGCGGACGGGGAGAGGCGGACGGGGAGAGGCGGACGGGGAGAGGCGGACGGGGAGAGGCGGACGGGGAGAGGCGGACGGGGGATAGCACAGAGGGGTTGGGAGAAAGGAGTTGGTAGAAGAGAGGGGGTATGGGAGCAACCGAGGTGCTGTGGTGGGGCATGTGTTTAGAGGGATAGCATGCAAATGGCGGGGATCACACATGCCCTCAAGTGGCGGGGATCACACATGCCCTCAAGTGGGCAGACAACAAGAATGATTTGCATGTGCGTTTATGTGAGAGTGTGTGAGAGCGCAAGGGGGAAGGGGGAAGGCGAGAAGAGGGTGGGATCGTTCAGAGAGAGGAGCTGGGGGGAGGGCAGCTCACCCTGTGCCGCCTTTCAGCATGTCACGGGACACGCGCAAGGTGAGCGCGTAGGAGCCGTTTGAGGGGCCATCTGAGCCGTTTGAGAGGCCATCTGAGCCGTTTGAGAGGCCATCTGAGCCGATTGAGAGGCCATCTGAGCCGTTGGCAGGGGGGCGAGGGTAGGGCGGGCAGCGGGATGGGAATGGCAGGCGCAGGGCGTAGGTGTGGAAACACCACAGCGAGCTGGCTGGAGCGGTGCCTGGGGAAGGTGCAGCAGAAGATGCATGAAAGGGGACGAGGGGGGGATGGAAGGAGCAACGAGGTTGGGGATGGCAGGCATCGCCAGGCACAGGGCGTAGGTGTGAAAACACAATGGCCTGCTGGGTGCTGTGGCGACTGGGGAAGGTGCGGCAGAAGATGAGTAGCAGGGGAGTGGGCGGTGATGGATGGAAGCACTATGGCTCGCTGGGTGCAGTGGTGGCTGAGGAGACGCAGAGAGCGTGTGGTGGGAGGCGCGAGCGGATGGATGGGGGATGGGGGGGAGAGAAAAGGGGCTGGAGGGTAAGACACATGACAGGTAGATGGCGCAAGATGGACGTATGAGTATGAGAAGCGCGGAAGAGGAGACACATGCTGAGAGTTCGAAGAGAAGAGGGAGGGAGGAATCGCAAGAGGAACATGAGAGTGAACCCCTGAAGGGTCACTGGGGGGCCAAGGATACCAATGGGGTCGGATGGAGCCAAGTGCTCGACGCATTTGCGTTGCGTCATCTTGGAAAAAAGAAGAGGAGAGCATTTTACTCGGCAAGGATGGATGATGCAAGAGAGCAGCACCTACAGCATCGTTCGTCTCCTCCCCCCCTCCTCCCCCCCCCCTCTCTCCTCGTCGCAGCGCCCAGCATGTCGACATACATCGGGTACAGCTCCTCCCACACCTCGCCCCCTCCTGCCCCCCTCTCTGCCTCCGTTATAAGCAGCTTCAGGACGCGCAGCGAGTAGGTGCGGTCAGGGGCGAAGCGACGGCCCAGCTGAGGCAAAGAGGAGGCAAAGAGAAGACGCAGGGGGCGGGGGAGAGGTTGAGAGGGAAGAAGGGGGGGGGAGTGGGGGGGGGAGGGGTTTGTAGATGAGAAAGGATGGAGTGTAGGGCACACTAGCAGGTAGAAAAGGTGCAGAGAGTCGGGGCGATCAGGGGCAAACCGAGGGTTCAAAGCATGGGGGGAGAGTAGAGGAGAAAGGATGCACAGGTAGGCACACCAGCTGCTTCAGAAAACGCAGCGACTAGGGGCGGCCAGGGGCGAACTGCGACCCTGACGACAGCTGAGGAGAGGAGAGGACAAGGGAAGCAGGATAGGAGGAGGCACATGGCACTGTAGCGCAGGCAGTGGCGCTGGGAAGGCCAATGCAGCTACTTTGAGAAGCGGACCAACGGAAACCAGGCTGTGGTACGATGTGAGGCGAAAATGCAGTGATGAGGTCCGCTGTTCCGGAGGTGAACTGGCAGCACGGTGGGGCGACACCAACCGGGCTTGAATGTAGCATGTGGTGGTGGTGGTGATGGTGGTGGTGGTGGTGGTGGTGGTGGTGGACACTAACCGGATGTGACTGTAGCATGGTCACTAGCTGCTGCTGCAAGGTCTCCGTCAAGATGCCTTCAGATCCCCTCCTGCACCATGATGTGGACGTTATGGCATGATGTGGACGTTATGGCATGATGTGGACGTTATGGCATGCAAATTTGCGCAATGCCATGCCATGTTATCCCATGACGGGGCATGCCACGTTATGCAGCGCCATCCCACACCATGCCACGCCATGGAAAACGAGCACCGATAAGGTGAGAACGCAGCGAGCTGGGCATGGGTTATGACAGGAAAGAACGGAGTTAAGACTAGCCAAATGGCTGCCGAATGCTGATTGGTCGCTTACTTGGCACATTCAATCACAGCCGTCGGTGGCTCCATCCGCCAGATCATGCACTGCGCCGCCCATCGCCAGGCACCAGGGCCGCTGTCCTCGATACAAGCACAATCGCTAGTAGAAGGTGCAGAGAGTTCAACAGCTGCTGTAGCAGCCATAATGCTGCACCGAGGAAGGCTCAAGTCGCGTACGCGAATAGGCGAGGCGAAAACTGGGTGAGGCTAGTAGGAGGCGAGGAGCTAGTGTGCAAGGAGACGGGCAGTGACACGTGGCAGTGCAAGGCGTCACAGCATGCGGATCCCTAGTCACTTTGACGTCATCACGCAGCCGTACGATGACGTCATTGCGTAATATCGCTGTCGCCGGGCCGGGACAACGCCATGTGTGTTGCTATGACACGCGATCCGCTTTGAGTTGTCTCAAAATAAGGAGCTGACAGGATCGGTGACGGAGAAAGTCGAGTCTTTTTGAGACGCGCCCCTCGGGGTCAGTTTCACTGCATGTCTCAAACCACAGAATGCAACCTCGCGGGGCCTACATGTTTCGTGTGCCTAGAAAGTCAAACTCACGAAAGTTTTTTTTCGCTAATTCACAATCTTCTGAGAAGATGACGACGCTGCGAAGAGGTCGATTTGCGTTTCGCGCATTTCGATTGGTTGAAATTCGTTTTATGGCTTTGCTCCACCACGTCTCTTCTGTCGTGTCGAACCTGATTCACCACGCCAAACGAAACGTGGGACTATGGGTGTCAAGTAGGGGTCCTCCTGGCGCTCCTAAATATCTCGTTTCTGAAAGCACAATCCCGAGTGGTCCTTCCTGGGCCCTTACACCTTCCCACTTTCCATACCTCGTCAAACGGAAGATTGGGCCCGCGCATTCCCGATGTCTCATTGACTGCCTTTGCCGATTCGAACGCGTGGCTATCTTAGAGGATTTGCCCGTGGCTGTGCTCGTGCTTGCCTTCAGACGCTGCGACTCGCAAAACAAATCGATCAAACGGAGTCAGGCCCACTTGTCGCTGTGCCTTCCGGAAGTTACGGAAACAATATTTCTTATGGAAAGCTCGCCTCGGATGTCTGTTTTTTAGACGCAGTGACAGTAAACACTTACAAAAGCACAGCAATACTTAGCAACAGCATTTCCGCCAGCCATGGCTGCTCCGCCGCGGTCGTTCCTTTCCCCCGCGCCTCCCCTCATCCCCGCGTCTCCGCCCCCCCCGCCTCTAGCGTATACCCCTCCGCCCGCGGCTCCCTCCCCCCCTATCCCGCCCAACTCTGCGCCGCGCCCGCTTTCCGCCCCGCACGCGCTCTCCGCCCTGCCATATCCGCTTTCCGCTGCGCCACATCCGCTGCCTGTCTCCGCGCGCAAACCTGCAGCGAAATGGGTCCGCCAGTGGTAGGTTGACGCGTGGCATTAGATGGTTTGACTCTGTGACGTGTACGTGCGCACCTGCACTCTCTCTTTTATCCTCCTCTCCCACGCCTTGCCTCCATTCCAACTCCTTTTCCTCTCGGCCCTTCTCTCCCCTCTCATCGCCTCTCTCCTCTCTCTCCGTGTGCCTCATTCCGCTCGACTCATGTCACTCACCCCGCCCCATCGTGTCACCCCGCCCCATCGTGTCACCCCCATGCTCTTGAAGGCTCGTTCTTTCGCTCTGCTGCCGCTCATGTCTGTGCTCGCTGCGTCCCGTGGGCTCTTTCCCCCTCTCTTGCGCTCTGTGCTCTGTCTGTGCCCCCCTCCATCCTCGTTACAGGGTGGTGCAGGAGACGGTGCTCAACAACGGCAAGTGCAGAGTGCTCAAATGGGTCAAACGTGAGTGAAAGGGTCAAACGTGAGTGAAAGGGTCAAACGTGACTCAAAGGGTCAAACGTGAGTCAAACAGTCAATGGTTGAGTTAATGGGTCAACCGTCAACGTGAGTCAAATGGGCAAACATGAATCATGCAAGCAACCCCCTTGCCCCGTGCCCTCTCCTGTTGCCCTCGCTCCCTGTGTGCTGCCCCCGCTGCTGCTCCCTGTGTGCTGCCCCTGCTGCTGCTCCCTGTGTACGTCCCCCATCGACTTCCCCCGGGGACTCCTGAACCCCCCTCAGCCAGCAGACCAAGATCGGCCTCTTTCCTCCACCTGCACATGCCACTCCTGCGCCCTAACGTCCCTCCCCTCCCTCCCTGTCCCCTCCCCCTCCGCTCCCCTCAGAAACCCCTGAGCCCCCTGCGGCCACCACACCAAGATCCGCCTCGCCCTTCCAGCTGCAGATGCCGCACCTGCGCGCCTTCCCCCCTCCGCCCTTCCCCCCTGCTGGCTCCGCCCTCCCCTCTTCCGCCACCCCTCCCCCCAACTCGGCTGCTTCCTCACGTGCGCCCGGCTCTATGCCCGGCCCCTACCCTGCCTTCCCTCACTCTCCTGCTAACGCTGCTCCTCGTGGTGCCACGTGGCAAGGCATGAGTGGTGCTCCTGGTGCTTCTGGTATGGGCATGGGTATGGGGTACACTGGCAGTGCTGCCTCCCCTGGCTACTACCCCCCTCCACCCCGCCTGTCCAACATGCCCCATGTCACCCACATGCCCAACCTGCCCCACATGCCCAATCTCAACCTCCCCCAAATGCCCAACATGCCAAATATGGCAAACATTCCCAATCTGCCCAACCTGCCCAACCTGCCCAACATGCACAACATGCCGAATGTGCCGCCCATGCCCAATCTCTCCAACGCCCCTCCCATGGCTTCCTATGGCGGCTCCTATGCGCCCCAGATGTCTAATTTTGGGTACGGGCAGGTGAACGGGCAGACTGGGCAGATGAGCGGGCAGGGGCAGCAGATGGGACACATGCAGATGCAGTTGCAGCAACAGATGCAGCAACAGATGCAGCAGCCGGGGCAGATGGGGGGGCAGATGGGGGGGCAAATGGGCATGGGGGGCCAGCAGCAGCAGATGGGGGCCCAGCAGCAGCAGATGGGGGGCCAGCAGCAGCAGATGGGGCAGATGGGCATGGGGGGCCAGCAGCAGCAGATGGGGCAGATGGGCATGGGGGGCCAGCAGCAGCAGATGGGGGGGCAGCGGCAGCAGATGTCTCCTGTGCCTGGTGTGACTGCGCCTGGAGGGGCGATGCAGCAGCATGCAGGGCAGGGATGGCAGGGGCAGGGGGGGCAAGGGGGGAGTGCGCCCCCCACCGTGTGGGCCTCCCCCACGCCAGCATCGGCAGCGCCACCACCACCAGTGCTAGCAGCAAGGACGCCCTCGCCCCTGGCCCCTGTGGCCGCCCCCACGTCCCTGGCGGGCGGCGGACCCACCATCTTCCGCCTGTCGCTGCCCTCCCCCTCGCACCCGCACCTCTCCCCCTCCATGCCCCCTCTGGCGGGCCGCAGCGCTGCGCCAGTGGGCGGGCAGCCACTGGGAGGAGCACCACTGCTGACAGCGGGAGGGGGGGTGGCGGCAGCAGGTGGGGGGCCGCCAGCCATGGGAGGGCCGGCGCCAGCTATGCATCCTGACAGCCGCTCACGGTCGCCTGCTGTCGCGCTGGGGCTGGGGCAAGGTGCGGTGCAGGGAGGGTTGCAGGGAGGCGTGCAGGGGGGGATGCTGCATGGCTTGCCAGGCAGTTCACCCTCCCCCGGGCCAGTAGCTGCAGGCATGGGGGGGCCGCCTGCTGCTGTCTTGCAAGGGGGCATGCAGGGGGGCGTCATGCAAGGGGGAGCACAAGGAAGAATGCAAGGGGGGACGCCTGGGGGGATGCAGGGGGGCATGCAGGGGGGCATGCAGGGGGGCATGCAGGGGGGCATGCAGGGGGAATGGCAGGGGGAATGCAAGGGGGGATGCAGGGGGGGATGCAAGGGGGGATGCAAGGGGGGATGCAAGGGGGGATGCAAGGGGGGATGCAGGGGGGGATGCAAGGGGGATGCAAGGGGGATGCAGGGGAGCCACGTGCAGGCAGCAGGGCACACGCAGGGGCTGGCGATGCTGCAGCTGCCAGCAGCGGCCCATGGCAGCATGGCCAGTGGCATGGCCGCAGTGGGAGGGGGAGGGGGAGGTGGGAGCGTGCACATGGGCGTGGGAGCAGGAGTGGCAGGAGGGGCGGCATGGCAGGGTATGGGCGCAGCAGCAGGCGCTGGAGGCCCCCCAGCGGATGTCACAGGGGCTCCAGTGGCTGCCGCTTCAGGTGCTGCTGGTGCCGGTGCAGGCGGAGTGAGCGCGGTGCAGAGTGGTGCAGGTGGAATGCAGAGTGGCGGTGTGGCGGCTGTAGCAGGGGCGGGTGCGATGGAAGAGCCAGCAGCAAGTGGATCTGGTGCTGCTGCTGGTGGTGGTGGTACTGGTGGTGTGGGGCCCAGTGGTGGAGTGGGAGGAGGGCCGTTTGTGTGCGGTGTGGATGGGTGCGGAAAGGCGTTTCTGGACGCGGGGGGCCTGAGGAAGCACTCGAACGTGCATGGGGAGAGGCAGTTCGTGTGCCACTATGAGGGGTGCGGCAAGGTGAGGGGGTGATGCGGCAAGGTGAGGGGGTGATGCGGCAAGGTGAGGAATGAGCAACACTATGAATGAAACAGCTAACACTTTTAACCCCCTCCTGACGTGGGGGATAGAGGATGCAATCGAGCGTGCACGGGGAGATGCAGTTACTGCATGGCTTCGAGGGGTGCAGCAAGATGCGCGGTGCGGCAAGGTGAGGGAAGTGGCCAGAATGATGAGCAACAATGGCGTTTAACAGCAACACGTCCAACCCTTGTCGCCATTCTCCCCCATGGTGTGCTTCACGCCATTCTCCTCTTCCTCAAAACCTTTTCTTGTTGCTCTTACTCTCGCCATCCCACTGACAGCGGTTTGTGGACAGCAGCAAGCTCAAGCGCCACTTCCTCATTCACACCGGGGAGAAGCGCTTCTTCTGCCCCTACGAGGGGTGCGGGAAGGTATGCATGTCTGTTGCCCATACGCGGAGGTTCTATGTCGCTAGAGGGGTGTGGGAAGGGGCGTTCCCCTTCAGCCTTGTGTCTGTTATTCTGTTTCAGGGGTGCAAGTCTCTAGTACCTGTCTGCCATGCGAGTTTTGCCTGCCCTGCCATGAGAGTCTTGGTCGGTCGAAGTACTTTTATGCGACTCTTAAGCACACTTCTGACAGCTCCTTGTCAGAAGCTGGGATTGCTGCCCCTGTGAGGGTGCATCTTGGGAGTGCCTGCATCAGCGTTGAGTGGAGGGAAGTGTGCCCTGTGCCCTGTGCCCCACCGCGCGCATGCATTTGCATTTGCATTTGCAAGCACATGCGCCCTCTCTTTGGAATTCAACTGGCACTCGCACATGCACGCACACGGGGGGGAGAACCGCCACATGTGCCCCACCACTGTACCCGATTCTCGGATCTGCCCCCCCCCCCCCCCCCCTCTTGAGTTGTTGCATATCTCTCCTAAGGGCCTTCTCTCTCGATTTCAACCGGCGCACAGGCGAGAGCTACCACACATGCGCCATACTTTCCTGCTTCTAAATCTGTCCTCCCCCCCCTTTGCCCCACCGTTCGCACATGCGCGCAGGCATTCTCGCTGGACTTCAACCGGCGGTCGCACATGCGCACGCACACGGGCGCGAACGACCACACGTCCCCATCCTCCCCTGCTTCTGAACCTCTCCCCCCCGCCCTCTTGTCTTGCCCCTTGCAGGCCTTCTGTCTGGACTTCAACCGGCAGTCGCACATGCGCACGCACACGGGCGAGAACTACCACACGCGCCCTATCCTTCTCTGCTTCTGAACCTGCCCTTCCTCCCCCCCTTGTCTTGCCGCACGCAGGCCTTCTCTCTGGACTTCAACCGGCGGTCGCACATGCGCACGCACACGGGCGAGAACTACCACACGTGCCCCATCCTGGAGTGCGGCAAGCGCTTTGCGCACGAGAACAAGCTGCGCATGCACCTGGCGTCTGCGCATGGCGACGGCAAGAACGCACCGCAGGTGTGTTTTTGATTCCTCATGCCACTCAGGTCTATATAAGGGGTAACAGAAAGTGACTCGCAAGAACAAGCTGTGCATGCACCTGGCGTCCGCGCATGGCGACAGCAAGAGCGCACCGCAGGTGTGTTATGTAGGTGTCTCAAACATGGTGATAGCAAGAACGCAGTGAAATAACTAGCATTTGAGAGAAATAATTGAACTAGAATGGGAGCCAAGAGGCTCTATAGTACAACCAAGGAGCAAAGGAAAGGTTGGAAGGGAAGCCATTCCCATTGGCTACAACAGTGGCCAGTGGGGGAGGTAGCTTGGAGGGGAAGCAACCTCAAAGTGTGGTGGTTGCTGATTGGTGGAGCCTTGGGACCATTTGGTTGGAAAGGGCCAACCAAAGGACCAAGGCCAAATCCAATCTTGACCAATCCAAAGTGTGGTTGGTGAACCCAACCAACAACCCCCCAAAACTTGAATGTCTACACCTCCTATTCTAGTCATGCATGTTGTATATAAGTATATATTACAACACGCAGAGCAGGTATGCTATTCAGGTGTCTCAAACTACAACTGTTGGGATCAAGCTGCGCATGCACATAAAGTAGGCGCACAGCAAAAACAAAAGCACCTCCATCTCCTTCACTAGAGGTAGGATCAGATGGGATGTGCTGCTTTGTTGTTTCCAATTGCGCCATCACAAACTCCTCCAGGTGTTCCCCCTCCTCCCTGTTCTGCCCCATCTCCGCCCTTTCTTCTTAGACACTCCTCACCCCCTCCCTCCTCACCCCCTCCCTCCTCATCCCCTCCCTCCTCACCCCCTCCCTCCTCACCCCCTCCCTCCTCCACCCCTCCCTCCTCCCCCGTCTCAGAAACAGAATCAGTAGCATGCCACTCGTCTGTCGCGTCTCCAATGTTTTCTTCCTACCCTGTTTTCCTTCCGCCCTGCCACCCCTCCTCTCTCCCCCCCGCCCCAACCCTCCCTTTCTTACCCCCTGTTCGTGCCCCAGCAGCGGTCTGCCCCGCGCGAGTCATCTGATGGGTCGCAGGACGAGGGGGAGGGGAGGGATGAAGGGGAGGGGCAGGGCGAGGGAGACGCGAAGGAGGAGAGGAGGAGGCAGGAGGTGAAGGCGGGAGGCAAGGAGAAGAGTGGGCGAGGGAGGAGGAAGCGAGAGGAAGTGAGTGCGGCAGGGGGAGAGAGTGAGAGAGGAGGGGAGGGTGAGAGGGGAGAGGAGCAAAGGGGAGGGAAACGGAGGCGCGAGGAGGCAGGGGAGGAGAGGGGTTTGGGAGAAGGGGAGAGTGAGGGGGGGAGTGAGAAAGGGAAAGATTCTGAGAGCTGGGGCCAGGGCGGGGAGAGGGGGGAGGAGGGTGGAAGGGGGGAGTTTGGGAAAAGGGGAGGGGGGGATGGGGAGGGCGATGAGGGGGAGGGTGTGGAGGGGGAGGGGGAGAGTGAGGATGGGGAGGAGGGGGCGAGTGTGGGTGCTCGCTTGCAGACGGGGATGGGTGCGAAGAAGAGGCGGTCTCTTGGCGCTATCTCGGGGGCGGATGGGGAGGGAGGAGAGGTGAAAGAGAAAGGGGGTAAGAGCAGGGGGAGGGGCGGGGGAGGGGACGAGGCAGGGGAAGGGGGAGAGGGAGGGGAGCATTAGGGGGAGGGGAGGTGGCAGAAGAGGGGGATGTGGCTGATGGGGGTAGAGGTAAGGGGAGGGGAAGAGGCAGAGGCACGGGCAGGGGGAGGGGCAGAGGCAGAGGGAGAGGGAGAGGCAGGGGGAGGGGAGGTGCTGCTGGTGAGCCTGCGAGGGAGGGTACGGATGTCGAGTATGGCAGTGGTGCCGGCGATTATGGCACAGCAGCAGCAGCAGCACGCAGAGCCTCCCGTGCTGTTGCATGTGAAGAGGAGGAAGGGGAAGGCATGGAAAGGGACAGTGATTATAACGAAGGGGAGGAGTTTACTGGGATGGACGATGTGGGCGAGGGGGAGGGGGAGGAGGGTATGTTGGAGGACGAGGAGGTGGGGGATGATGCGCTGGAGCAGAGCACGGAATTCGGGGAGGATATGGGGGAGGGGGAAGGCATGGAGGGGGGCGGTGGAGAGGAGGAGGAGGACGAGGGTGGTGAGGAGGGCTGGAGAGAGGAAACGGGGGGTGGGGAGGGAGGGGAGGGAGGTGAAGGAGCGGAGGGAGGGGAGGAGGTGGAGGTGGAGAGGCCGAAGCGGCGGCGGCGGCGGCGCAAGCTGGAGGAGTCGGAGCGCGTATTTGCTTGCGGCGAGGCGGGGTGCAGCAAGCGCTACTTCCACGAGTATAAGCTCCGCCTGCACCTCAAGCACTTCCACGGGCTGGCCTTAGAGGACGAGGAGGAGGATGGTGCTGCTGGTGGTGCTAGTGGCCGTGTTGAGGGCGATGGGGAAGGGGTAGGGAGGGGAAGAGGGAGAGGTAGGCGAGGAGGGAGAGGCATGGGGAGGGAGGTGGGAGGGCAGGGGGCAGGGCGGGGAGGAAGGGGTGGTGGGAGAGGAGCGAAGAGTGCAGCCGAGTATGAGGAGGACGAATATTATGGCGTGGAGAATGCTAGGGGGGAGTATGGGGGAGGCGGGCATGATGATGAGTATGGGGATGATGATGGGAATGTTGACTACTCCAAAGGTGACTATAATGAGGAGTACAGTGATTATGGAAGGGAGGAAGACGTTGAGGAGGACGAGGAGGCTTATATGGAGGATGTGCCGCTGGGGCAGCGCAGGTCGCACTCTCTCCCCTCCACCGTCCCCTCCTCCTCTGAAGCTAGGGGCCGTGGTCGGGGTAGGGGTCGTGGCAGGGGCAGGGGAGGAGGTAGAGGGGGAGGAGGAGGGGAGATGGGAGGAAGAGGAGTTGTGGGGAGTGGGGGGGGAGGAAAGAGGGAGACAGTGGGGGGAGGTGGCAGAGAGGCAAGGCAGGATATCGGTCGGGGAGAATGGGGAGGGGGTGGAGGGTCAGGGTTGGCTGCTGAGGAAGAGTATGCCGAGGATGGTGGGGATTACCAAGAGGACGAATGTGAAGAGGAAGGATATTACGAGGAAGATGGCGGCGGTGATGAGGGCACTTTTTGATACATAGTTTATTATGTGTTGAATGGCATGCAGTGGCACATGTTCTGTTTGTTTTGTTGGCCATGCCTCTTGGTAGTCGCTTGTCGAACATTTGGCGATGTTACGCATGCGGTCCATGGTTTGGGATGGGAGACAAATATTGAGAATGGAGTGCAAAGAGTTTACGGCAACCAATGGAGTGCTTTTTGGTTGTGTTGTGCATAACAATGATGATTGCCTTGTGGAGAAAGTGGAGTAATCTAATGCTGTATTGAGAGTATAATCATGGATGACATCTACTCACACAAACGAGGATGTGGACTCACCAAAAGCAGGTACTAAGTTTGATCAGATCACGCGAACCAGCAGTTTTTTCTCCTCCCAGGCAGGCGAGACTCGCACCTGGCGACCATAGGCCCACGGCACTCCGGTGATTCGCACATCCCACCGCGCAATCCGGCGAACAATCCGGCGCACATTCCGGCGCACGTTCTTGTCGCGAGATAACTCATCTAGCGGGTAATTCGTCGGTTCTGAACGCTGCTCTCTCCCTCGAAACAGCCGGAATCACCCCCATCCTACAGCGCGTTTGCGCGCATTCGAGCACGTTGGAGCTCCCTCGCGCTTCGTTCTTCTCCTCGACGTGGCTGGCACAACGCGCCCAGCGGATCTTGGATCCAGCACCATTCCCCCTTCCCCCGGCCTCCCCTCCGAGCCCTCTTCCCCCAGTCGCCCTCCACAAGGGAGGCCTGGACTCAAGCCGTCTTCCGCCCACAACTTCCCGCCGCTCCTCTCTCCTCCCCTCCTCTCCCCCTCCCTCCCCTCCTCTCCCCCTCCCTCCCCTCCTCTCCCCTTCCCTCCCCTCCTCTCCCCCTCCCTCCCCTCCTCTCCCCTTCCCCGACCCTCCACTCCGCTCCTTTCTCCTCCCCTTCGCCTTCCCTCCTCCCGCCTTTCCCTCCCCTCCTCTCCCATTCCCCTCTCCTCCTCTCCCCTTTCCTCCCCTCCTTTTCCGTTCTCCTCCCCTCCCCTACTCTCCCTCCCCTCCCTCCCCCCCTGCCGCCTCCCTCCAGTTCTCCCTGCAAATGGCGGGCTGGGGGAAGCGGAGCGCGCCAGCCAGCATCTCCAGACGACCAGATCCTGTTCCGCCTCGCCAGCCCACGTGGCCAGATCCGCGCCCCACCTTCTTCCCCCCCCCCCCCCCCCCTCCCCCCCCCCCCCCCCTCTCCCCCCAGTCCGCGCGCGCTCCCCCACAAAGTGGGTGGTGATCAATGTGCCATATACGCCATTGGGACGGGAGATTACAAGGTGCTGTCAGGGGTGTTCCTAGCAGATGAGGAGTGCAGGCGCGCGCTGGACTGCCTCTGAAGGCTTTCCGCCGCCTTTCCCCTTCAGCCTCTCTCCCCCCTTCCGCCCTCTCCCCCCTTCCGCCCCTATTCGCCCTTTCACTAACAGGTGCAGCACAGTCGGCCGCCCGGAATGCCGGGCAATTGACGCGCTGCACCGCACTTTGCGACGGGCAATTATCAGGCAGCAGTGAGACGCCATGCAGCAGGCGTGTGTTCTTAGCGGATCACTGCCTGTGATGCAATGCACGGGCTTACCCCTTCCGCCCTTCCTGCATTCCCTTCACACCAGGACACACTCGCCGCAGACTGGCGGGCTACGAGCGCACCATACCGCACTTTGAGACCAGAAAGCAACCACGAAGCGCCAGGGGTGCTCCTACTGGGCTGCCTCGCGAGTGAAGCCATGCACGGACGGACTTGCGCTTTCCGCCCCTCTTTGCCCCTCTCCGCCCCTCCCAACCACACCAGGTACACACCCGCCCCCCGGAATGGCGTCCTACGAGCGTGCCATACCGCATCTCGATACAGGAAGCTACAAGCCCCCCGTGAAGGCGAGCACTGGCTTCTTCATCCGCTCCTCTCCCCCCTTTCTGCCGCTCTCGGCTCTCTCCTCCTCAGGTGCACATTCAGCCCCCTGGAATGGCGGGCTACAAGCACGCCATACCCCATTTCGAGACGGGCAACTACAAGTCTCCAAGGGTGTTCCTAGCAGATGAGGAGTACGGGCGTGCGCTGGACTGCCTAGTGAAAGCTTGCTCTGACTTCTTCATCCTCGATACAGACAGCTCCGAGAACTGCAGAATACTGCTGGGGAAGAGGAAGGTGGAGCCGCAGCCTGACTGGTGGTGAGTCAGGGGGGGCGGGCGGGTGAAGTGAAGGTGCCGGCCGGGTGCGGCGGGGTGGCAGTGCGGTGGGGTGGCAGTGCGGTGGGGTGGCAGTGCGGTGGGGTGGCAGTGCGGTGGGGTGGCAGTGCGGTGGGGTGGCAGTGCGGTGGGGTGGCAGTGCGGTGGGGTGGCAGTGCGGTGGGGTGGCAGTGCGGTGGGTGGCAGTGCGGTGGGGTGGCAGTGCGGTGGGGTGGCAGTGCGGTGGGGTGGCAGTGCGGTGGGGTGGCAGTGCGGTGGGGTGGCAGTGCGGTGGGGTGGCAGTGCGGCGATCCCTTCATTTCATGTACATAAGGGTTCGCACGAGACCAGAGGAAGGGCAGATGGCAGAGTGTTGCGACTGATCCCTTCCCCTTGCCCCACCGCTCGTTCTCTCCCTACCCTGGGCGTGCACTCGTACTGCTGGCAGTGTGAACCCCCCTTCCTCTCTTTCCCCTGCCTCCTCCCTCTTCCCCTCCCCAGGTTTATGGGGGGTCGCATGAGACCAGGGGAGAAGCCAGAGGACAGTGTGGTGCGGCTTCTAAGCCGGGAGCTTGGCGTTACAGTTGAGCCCGGTGCAGTGCGGTTCCTGGGTGTGCACTCGTACTGGTGGCAGCGGCGGGTGCAAGAGCCTGTGGACAACGGGACGTGTGACATCAGCGGGGTGTTCACTGTAGCGATCGGGCCCGAGCAGGCGGCTAGCATCAAGCTGGACGAGCAGGAGTACAGTGACTCCAAGTGAGTACAGTGAATTTGATTGACGGCAAAAGCTTCTAATTGATCTTTTGAATTGGAAACGAATTCGGTTGCTCCAAGTGAGTACAGCCAACGTACGAAACAGAGTCCACCTCGTGCCGGCCCTTAGCTCTTCTTGCTCCCTTGCGTCTTTCTTTCCATCCTCCCCTTGTATTTACGCACCCATCAGGTGGGTGAGCATATTGGACGCCATTGAGGGCGAGCACTATCGTCCTGCCCTCCACACCCTCTCCCTTCCATCCTTTCTGTTCTCCCCTCCATGCACCCATCAGGTGGGTGAGCATACCAGACATCATCGAGGGAGAGCACTACCACCCTGCCCTGCGCCAGTCAGCCAGGTACCTGAAGCCATGCACCATGGACCCCTCTCGTCCCCTCCTCCTTCCACTCCACCACCTTTTACTCCCACCACTTTCCCTATCCATGTGTTTCTGCCCCATCTCGTCAATTCCTTGACGATAGCAAGAGTATGCAGCAGAATGGCACGTGCGAAAGTGCAAGTTGTGCAGAGTGTCCGCACAGCAGCACATTCCTGCATCCCCTCTCTGACTCAATCATGTGAAGAGTCTCCAATGTGAAGAGTCTCATCAACGATTTCCGTGCACATGGTTCGCCATTCCTCACATTCCTCTCTTTGCTTCACACAACCCTTTGACTCCCCCCCGCCCCCCCCCCCCCCCCCCCCCCAAAACGTCCTGTTCTCTTTCAGGGACCTCAAGGCCCGGTTTGCCTGGGAGCGCCTCGAGAGGCTCGTGAAAGAAGGTGCTGGAACTGATGCAGAGATAGCAGAAGCTGCCAGGAAGCTAGTGGCACTTAACTGAAGGGTGTTTTCCATTGAAAGGGTGCTTATATGAGGGGACACTGTTCACACCTGGAATCCACACATTTACACAGGTACTATGTGCCTCGTGGGAGGAGACAACGGCACAGGCTGCATGTGAGCACTGTAAGGGGCAGAAACTCAGCAGGTTCATCTGTCCTGCTTACGGTCACATCGCATCACATTGCAACTTGACCCATGATTCAAGTTGCGCAAGTTCATGCCACACTCAAAATAAACTTTAGAACAGAACAGGAAGCTCACTTCAACATGAGTATTGAAAGCAAACATCACTTCTGCCCCTAGCCTATTTCCTGAGCTGCTGGGCATCTCCTGTCTCGTCACCACCCACCTCCACATCCTCCTCTCCTTCCCAACTGTCTCCCACCCCCCCTGTTCTCATGTCCCCCTAACCTAGCTCGACACCATCCACCTCATCATCCTTCTGCCGGTCCCATTCCTCTCCTCCCCACACACCTCCATCTCCACCCGTGCCTCCTCCGTGTATCCCCTCCCAAAAATGCGTTTGAATCGGTTAGAGATCAGAGGGCACCTGTAGATCGAGCACCATTGCAGCAGCGGCATGTCGCAGAGAGACACGGGCAGCTGCGACAGCTCCTTACACTCTTGAACTTGCAGGCGCTTCAGTCGGGGCAGCTGTGGAAAAGTTTCAGGCAAGCTGCCAAGACTTGGCAGAGTACTCAACTCGAGGGTCTGCAGGGAGGAAAGGTTTCCAAAGTCTCTTGGAAAGGAGGAGAGCCCCTTGCACCCGGAGAGGCGGAGGTGCCGCAGACTGGGCAGACCGGGGAAGGATTCCGGGAGCCTGGTTAGCTTGGAGCACCGTTCAATGACCAGAGACTCGAGCCTTTTCAGCTGCCCGAACGATTCGGGCAGCTTGTGCAGGCTCTCAAGGCCAATCAGCTTGAGGGAGGCGAGGCAGGATAGTCTTCCGAATGTTTCGGGCAGGGCTTCCATGCACGTGGCAAAGGAGATGTCCAGATGCTCCAGACTCGCCAGGTTAGTGATGGACGCAGGAAGCGAAGTCAGTGCCGGCACCTGTAGCAGCATCAGCGTTTTCAGTGGGGAGATGCAGCCCAAGGATGGGTCGAGTGCGTCACACGGCACACAACTGTAGCTTTGCAGCGACGGAAGCCCCTCAGCTCCAAAACTCCCAGAATCGCTACTGCTGCTGCTGCTGCTGCCACCGCCAGCCAAGCTGTCGCTACGGCAAAGCTCGCCCAGGTTCCTGCAGCTGTGCACCTCGAGCTCCTGCAGGCGAGGCAGCTTGAGCAGCGACCGGGGGAGAGACTTCAAGCCGTTCGAGTCTAGGATCCGGAGCTCCTCCAGCCGCTCCAGCTGCCCCATCTCCTCTGGCAGCTCCTCCAGCTCGTTGCAGTTTCTTACTGTCAGGCTGGTGAGCGAGAGTGTGAGTGGAGAGAGCGAGGCAGGGAGGGCTGACAGGTGCGGCAGGTCAGATAGAGAGAGCTTGTGCAGGTTTCTGAAGCAGCCGAAGCTCTCTGGCAGGGTGCCTCTCACGCAGTTGAGTTCCCCAATCGTGATCGTCTCTAGCGATGAGATATGGAAAACCGATGGAGGGAGGTGGGTGAGACCTTCGCACATCAAAACCAGCTCATGCAGGCTCTGTAGGCCATCCCCCATGCCCTCTGGTAGAGCAGTGAGCCTGGGGCAATGACTCACTTTTAACCGCGCAAGGCAAGATAGCAAGCTGAGGGAGTCAGGCAGCAGCTGCAGCCCCTCACAGCTGTCAATCTCCAGCTCCCGCAGTTTCGCCAGATGCCCGAGAAAGCCCGGCAGGTGGGTGAGTTTCGTAAGCCTCCGCAGATGCAAAGCCTCTAATGCGGCCAGCTGGCCAGAGCACTCCGGCAGAGATGCCAGCCTTGGAAGGTCCGACACGAACAGAGTCTTCAATGCAGTCCACCCGCCAACGCACTCGGGCAGGGATGCAAGATTTGGAAGCCGCGTGAGATGAAGCTCTTGAATGGCAGCTGCGCGCGAGATGGAGTCGGGCAAGCTGGTGAGACTTCCACCTTCCAGCTTGAAAGTCCGTAGCTTTGACAACCGGCCGATGCCGTCAGGCAGCTCTGACAGGTTCACCCCTGCGAGGTGGAGACTTGAGAGAGATGACAGATGGGGAAAGGAGGCCGGTAGAGAGGATAAGTCGGGGCAGTGCGTGACGGAGAGGAGCTGCAGCCGCTGCAGCTGCCCGAAGGATTCGGGCAGAGCCGTGATTCCCCTCACCCGCTCGAGGTGTAGGGTCTCCAGCGCCTGGAGCTGGCCGAAGTTCTCAGGGAGCGAGGAAAGCTCGTCGCAGCTTCGTATCTCAAGTAGGTTGAGTTCAGGGAACGTGGGAATGGTATCTGGCAGTTGGAAAGTGCGGCAGGCGACGATGGAAAGACTCTGTAGATTCGTAAGCTGATGGACGGACGCCGGCAGGGAACTGAGCAAGTTACAGGATCGCAGCTGCAAGGACTTCAGGAATGTCAGATTGCCGAAATCTTGTGGCAGATTTTGCAGCTGATCCATGTGTAGCGCGAGGGTCTCGAGTGACTGTAACGAGGTGATGGATTCGGGGAGATGCTCGACCCTATCGGCTTCGAGATGGAGGTTCTTGAGCCGAGAGAGACCGCTGATGCATTGCGGAAGGGAGGAAACACGAGATGGGCAAGATAGATACAGATGCTCCAGTCGCGTACACCGCTCGAAAAGGCGAGAGATTCCGACCTCCATGAAACCGCTGACGTCACCGTACATCTCGTCCATCGCCTCGATGTGAAGATCGATCAGACCGGGAGCCAGGGCAGAGAGGAAAAAGTCTGGAACGAAAATGAGGCTGGCTTCGGAGAGGACGAGCTTCTTGAGCCTAGGGAATGACGAGAGCTGGCGAAGCAGCTCGCGAGCATTCATGCCGCGATCTCGGCGCACGTGGATGGCGTCCTGCACGCGGAATGCCACGTCACGCCATTTCTTGCAGACCAGCGCATGATGGAACCCGCCCGGTCCAGCAGCTAGATGCAGGATGGTGGGGAGCAGATCCTCTACTAGCTGGAAATGCGACTCGTCTGAGATTGAGAGAGAGCCAAAGGAGGAAGAGAGCTGAGACGCCATTGTGTATGTAGGCAGATCGAAAGGGGTACGTTGTGTGTATTTCTGTTTTTCAGTTACTGACTCAACTCTGGAGAGTGAGATACCCTCGTGCTGCAAGGAGAAAGGAAACCTCCATGCGCTGAAGGGGGGAAATGGAGCAGAGGAAGACCCACTGCCAGTCAAGGCTCACCAACGAGTGGCGCGCTGCCAGCGTGGGAGAACAGGAAAAGGGTACACTTGTAAGGAAATTGTATTTCCTTTATCCAGGGTTTTATTTAGTAAGGCATACACTGCAATAACGGGGTTGCTGCGTAGTCTGCCACGAAATTCAAATCGCAGCACCCGGATGTGGCCTCCTGACAAGCCACATGCATTTCGCTCACCTTACAGTTTCATGCCTGAATATGTGCGCTCCGCTTAAAATTACAAACCACACGTCTCAGCTTCCCCGAGCCTCGACCATGTGCCCCAGACCTAGCTATCTCCAGTACCCCTGCTGTTTTGATGTTTCCTCGCGACTCAATTATCCGATACTCGCTGTTTGCACCTAGCCATCATAGCCAACAGTGTGTGGGCATGTGACTACCAAGCCTAGGGGGTGTGTTCAAATTATATAAGTTATAATTTAATATAGGCTTGGTAGGTTGTTACTGAACCTTTATGTAGGGGGTACAAACCCCTCCTTGTACTCCCCTCTCTTCTAATCCAACCCTTTTCTCTCCTCAACTTTCCTAGCACCTAAAACCTCTCGCCATTCTCATGGCTCCTCCTAGCTCCTAGCTAAACCTTGTGCCATTCTATGGCTTCCTAGCTAAGCTAGTCTTTTGACATGGTATTAGAGCAGTTCGTTCCGTGTGGGCCTGCTCCTCGCGTTTCCGCTGCGTGCTCGTTTCTCTCTCTATCTCGCGCTGCCATGGCGGCCGCGTCAAGCTGCTGTGGCCGCGTCGTCGTGCCGCGGCGCCGCCGTCGACGTCCATGGCGCCCGCGTCCAGCTGCTGTGGCCGCGCCGTCGTGCCGCAGCTCCGCCGTCGCGTCAAGATGCTGTCGCGACGTGACGGCGCCGTCACGCTGCCGCGGCGTCTACGCGACAGCGCGCGGTCGGCGTAACGGCGACGTCGTGCTGCCGTCGCAACGTCGACGCCCCGCTGCGGCATCGACGCCGCTCCATGACGGCGTCGTCGGGCTGCAGCCGGCCGCGTGACGCTTGTGGCGCCGCTAGACCGGCCGCCCGCATGTCAGCCTGTGGCGCCCCCCCCCCCCCCACCCCCTCCTTCCCCTGTGCCCTCTTCCATTCCGCAGACGACGGCTGACTCCCGCCGGCCGTCCCACCGTCGCGGGGCCTGGCCACGTCACCGAGAGGTGCGGGTGCCGCCGCCGCTGCCGCTGTTGTCGAAGCCGCCGCCGCCGCCGCTGTCGCCGCTTGCGTCGGGGCCACGCAGCCGCACGCCGCCGCCGCCGCCGCTGTCGACACTGCCGCCGCTGCTGCCGTTGCCGCCGCAGCCCCTGCGGTCGACGTCGCCGCCTCACGCACCGTGGGTCGACCGACCTAGAGTCGCTGTCACTGTGGCTGGAATGGGGGTGCTAGGTTAGGGGGTGTGGGTGTGTGTGGGCATGTGACTACCAAGCCTAGGGGGTGTGTTCAAATTATATAAGTTATAATTTAATATAGGCTTGGTAGGTTGTTACTGAACCTTTATGTAGGGGGTACAAACCCCTCCTTGTACTCCCCTCTCTTCTAATCCAACCCTTTTCTCTCCTCAACTTTCCTAGCACCTAAAACTATAACTTATATAATTTTAACACACCCCCTAGGCTTGGTAGTGTCAAGCCCACGCACACCCCCACACCCACACCCACACCCACACCCACACCCCCTAGCCCAGCACCCCCATTCCCAGCAGCAGCCGAAACGATGCCGAAAGAGGGTAGGTCTCACGGCCCCTTGAGACGGCAATGGCGGCAGCAGCGACAGTGACGACAGCGGCAGCGGCGGCGGTGTGCGGCGGCTCCAGGCCTGCGGCAACAGCGGCGGCGCCGGGGGGCTCGAACGACAGAGGCTGGTGCGGCGGCCCCCGACCTCTCGGCGGCATGTCCTGTCTCCTCGGCGGTGGAGAGGTCCCTCACATGGCAGTCATCGGCTGCAGCAAGAAAGGGGGGGATGCAGGGGAAGCAGGTGCAGGTGGGGGGGGGGAGGGGAGGGGGGCGGGGCGAGGCGAGTCTTCAGCGACGCGCCATGAATGGCGCGGCGCTTACTGGCGGGAGGACGTCGTCCTGAGGGACGCCCGTCTGTGGCGAGCGGGCGGCAGGCCCGGCGACGCCACAGACGTCGCTCGGCCGGCCGCAGCCCGACGATGCCGTCGGCTGCCGCAGACGCCGCCACAGCGCACCGTCAATGTCGCAGCGGCGAGGCGGACGAGCGACGGCTGCACCAAGGGGCCGTCGCGACACCTTGGCGCCGCGACGGTAGGCAACGAGGGACCGTCGCGACATCTTGGTGCCACGACGGCAGGCAACAAGGGGCCGTCGCGACTCCTTGGCGCCGCGACGGTAGGCAACGAGGGACCGTCGCGACATCTTGGTGCCGCGACGGCAGGCACCAAGGGGCCGTCGCGACATCCTGGCGCCGCGACGGCAGGCTGGCAGAAAAAAAACCGCGAAGGCTGCGAATGCAGTAGGAGTACGCAACGGGAACGTAGGGAGAGGGTCCGGTGGACACGACCGGCTCTGATACCATCTTAGAAACTTAGGACTAAAGGTTCTTAAACTTAGGAGGCTAGGTTGGCTAGGATACTAGGAAGAAGACCGCCATGGAATGGCGTGAGGAAAAACGGATCTAGGAAGGGAGGGAATGTCGAGAAGAAAGGAAGATGGATTAGGAAGAGAGGGGAGTACAAGGAGGGGTTTGTACCCCCTACAGAAAGGTTCAGTAACAACCTACCAAGCCTATATTAAATTATAACTTATATAATTTTAACAAACAGTCCTCAGCCTTGCGCTCTAGTCTAGTTCTATTGCAATATTGATACTTCGAGAGGCTGACATACTGTGCTTACTATCAAAGTTAGAATGAATGACAAGAATGAGGCAAACAAGGTGGTTTTGTCTAAGGGGTTGTACCCTCTAGGAGTACGCACCTATATAGCATCTAAGACATATACACAATATGTTTGACACACCCCCTAGGCTAGATGAGGGGCAGTGCCTGGCAAGAGACACACAGCTCAGGGTGGCACTACTAGTCCAACCTCTGAGGTAGGGGTCCGAAGACCAGTTAGCAAGAGTACAAACTAAACAAGAGCAAGCCACGGCGGTACTACTAGTCCAGCCACTGGGACAAGAGCCACAAAGCCAGTCAAGATACAATACAAAAGTAGTACACAATCAAGGTCATAGCAAGTGAGAAGCTACAGAAACTAGACCAAGTTGTACACAGTGCCGCTGATGATCTTTAGGCGCAAGCCCCTTCGTAAATATATCAACTGTGTTGGCACCTGAGGCCAAGTGTACTACGCGGGCATGACGGCGCTACTGTAGCTCGCGAAGGAGGAAGTACCGCAGCTGGATATGCTTCGCTCTGCCCTCCAGTCGAGGCTCCTGGCACAGGAGGATCATGGCCCTGTTGTCAGCGTACAGGACTGGGGCAGAGCTAGGCCCCTCACTTAAGTCAGTGAGCAAGAAAGTCAGCCAGCAGAGCTCCTGTGCCGCCATGGCACCTGCGTAGATCTCAGCCTCATAGTTAGACTGGGCAATAGACGACGAACGGGTTGACCTCCACGAGATAGCGCCTGCACCAAGGCTAAAGCAGTAGCCCTGGAAGGACCTGAGCGTCTCAGCGTTGTCGGCCCACGAAGTGTCTATGTGCCCTGTAAGGACCACTGGCCTGCGTCCTCCCAGTACTAGCCCCATGCTCGATGTACTTGCTAGATAACGCAAAACCCTCTTAGCTGCTGACCAGTGTTGTGGTTGGTGTCTACCTATGGCCACAAAGCGAGCTAGGATGCTGAGAGTGTATGCAAGACCTGGACGGGTGCAAGTCATCAGGTACATAAGGAAACCCACCAGCCCTGCGTAAGGACCACTAGGCTCTACAAACTCCTCAGGGACTGGACCCGAGAGCCTGTGATCTACTGACAAAGGTGTGGGCTGTACGGAGGAGAACTAAAGACCGAACCACTAAAGGACCTGGCGCACCAAGTGTGACAGTGTGAGAGTGATGGTGCGTGCTGCTCTGACTCTGGAGATCTGCAGGCCAAGGTAAAGGTGCAGCTCTCCTAGGTCAGTGCAGGTGTGTCTCCTCCGAAGCTCAGCCTTCACAGAGGCCAGTGCGTCTCTGTCTGCAGGAGCAAAGACCAGGTCGTCTACGTAGACAAGGATGTAGAACGGGGTCTGGCCAGCACGAACGACAAGTGAGGGGTCTGTAGACGACGGGAAGAACTGCAAGTCAGCTAACGTAGCACGAAGCGTGTCGTGCCACTCGCGCGGCGCCTGCTGCAGGCCGTAAACCGGGCGCCGAAGGAGCCACTGGGTCCTTGGGGCAAAGGTGCGGGTTAAGCCTGGCGTGCAGACTGCCCTGAAGAAACGCTGTCGAGAAGTCGAGAGAGTGCAGCTTGTAGTCACGCTTTGCTGCTACATGTAACAGCTCCCAATGAGTAGTCATCTTCGGGGTCGGGGCGAAGGTCAGAAAGAAGTCAACACCCTCACGCTGACTGAAGTCTCTAGCAACGTAGCGCGCCTTAAACACTGACGGCTCTCCAGGAGGGCGCTTCACCTTGACGAGCTACTGGCCATCGACTATTTTCACCCCAGGTGGGGGAGCTGCGTCGATGTAGGTGCCGGTGGATCTCCAAGACGCCATGTCCATGTCCATGGCAGCTATCCACTGAAAGGCCCAGAGTCCCGAGGTCGCCTCTGCGTAAGTGCGAGGGGTCGGGATGTCAATGGCATCTGGGTCTCCCTCAGGGACTAGCAGCATGGAGCAGAGATGAGGCACGACTTTGGACAGGAAAGCAAGCTTGTACTGCCGGTCCTCCAGAACGTCACTGCCAAGGGGAGAAGCACCCTTGACGGACGGAGGACGGGCAGGGGTAGAGACCACAGCGGTGGCGTAGTCAAGGCGGCGGGTAGAGGCGAAGTCAGCGACAGCAGCGACAAGCGTGTCAAGACTCGAGACAGGAACAGAGGGGTCGATAACAAGGGAGGCAAGGACCAGAGGAATAGGAGGACTAGCGGTACGAAGGATGTCTGACAGAGGACGCGGAGTGAAAACAAGCGACGACAAATGAGGCGATGGTAGGAGGGGAGGACGAGACATGTAGGAACGAAGCAACATAGGGTGAGAGCACTGAACAGGAGAGACAGGACGAGCACGGGAGGGACGGCAGGACCGGACGTGAGACGGAGGCGTCGGGCAAGGAGATAGAGAAGGAGACATAGGAGGGGAACGAGGCCCCCCCCCCTCCTTATCCTTCCCTTGTTCTCCTGCCCCCGTCCAGTCCCCCCCCTTCCCCCCCCTCCTTTTTACTTCCCAGTGTAGTGCAGCAGCTGATGCCCTCTCTTTCCTCTGTTTCCTCTGTATTTCCTATCTTTCCCCTTCCCAGGTATATGGGAGGATGCATGAGTCCAAGGAGATTCCAGAAAACAGCGCGGTGCGGCATCTAAGTAGGGAGCTTGTGTCAAAAGACTAGCTTAGCTAGGAAGCCATAGAACGGCACAAGGTTTAGCTAGGAGCTAGGAGGAGCCATGAGAATGGCGAGAGGTTTTAGGTGCTAGGAAAGTTGAGGAGAGAAAAGAGTTGGATTAGAAGAGAGGGGAGTACAAGGAGGGGTTTGTACCCCCTACAGAAAGGTTCAGTAACAACCTACCAAGCCTATATTAAATTATAACTTATATAATTTGAACACACCCCCTAGGCTTGGTAGTCACATGCCCACACACACCCACACCCCCTAACCTAGCACCCCCATTCCAGCCACAGTGACAGCGACTCTAGGTCGGTCGACCCACGGTGCGTGAGGCGGCGACGTCGACCGCAGGGGCTGCGGCGGCAACGGCAGCAGCGGCGGCAGTGTCGACAGCGGCGGCGGCGGCGGCGTGCAGCTGCGTGGCCCCGACGCAAGCGGCGACAGCGGCGGCGGCGGCGGCTTCGACAACAGCGGCAGCGGCGGCGGCACCCGCACCTCTCGGTGACGTGGCCAGGCCCCGCGACGGTGGGACGGCCGGCGGGAGTCAGCCGTCGTCTGCGGAATGGAAGAGGGCACAGGGGAAGGAGGGGGTGGGGGGGGGGGGGGCGCCACAGGCTGACATGCGGGCGGCCGGTCTAGCGGCGCCACAAGCGTCACGCGGCCGGCTGCAGCCCGACGACGCCGTCATGGAGCGGCGTCGATGCCGCAGCGGGGCGTCGACGTTGCGACGGCAGCACGACGTCGCCGTTACGCCGACCGCGCGCTGTCGCGTAGACGCCGCGGCAGCGTGACGGCGCCGTCACGTCGCGACAGCATCTTGACGCGACGGCGGAGCTGCGGCACGACGGCGCGGCCACAGCAGCTGGACGCGGGCGCCATGGACGTCGACGGCGGCGCCGCGGCACGACGACGCGGCCACAGCAGCTTGACGCGGCCGCCATGGCAGCGCGAGATAGAGAGAGAAACGAGCACGCAGCGGAAACGCGAGGAGCAGGCCCACACGGAACGAACTGCTCTAATACCATGTCAAAAGACTAGCTTAGCTAGGAAGCCATAGAATGGCACAAGGTTTAGCTAGGAGCTAGGAGGAGCCATGAGAATGGCGAGAGGTTTTAGGTGCTAGGAAAGTTGAGGAGAGAAAAGAGTTGGATTAGAAGAGAGGGGAGTACAAGGAGGGGTTTGTACCCCCTACAGAAAGGTTCAGTAACAACCTACCAAGCCTATATTAAATTATAACTTATATAATTTGAACAGCTTGGTGTTGCTATGGAGTGCAGTGCAGTGCGGTTCCTGGGTGTTCACTCTTACCGGTGGCAGCGGTGAGTGCAGGAGCCCATGGGTTGACTTGTGATATTAGCGGGGTGTTCAGTGTTGTGATTGGGCCCGAGCAGGCGGCTGAGATCAAGCTGGATGAGGAAGAGTACATTGATTCCAAGCGAGTACGATTCCAAGGGAGAATAAGCAATCCATTGAATTTGGTGTATATAAGTGACTATATAGAACTATATTAAGTCAGTAGATATTGGTGAGTACATCTAATTTTTAAACAAGTTCCAGCTCCTGCTCGCCCTTCTCTCTTTTCCCATCCCCTGCCCTTGTTCTCTCTACCTCTCAATGGGATTCATGCAACCACTAGACATACATCATCAACGGAAGGCATCCTCACCTATTCACCATCCCCCCTCTTCTTCTGTCCATGTTCCCCTCCCTCCTCACACCAAGTGGGTGAGCATATCAGACAATGTCGAGGGAGAACGCTACCACCCTGCCCTTCTTACCCTCTCCCCTTCCCTTCTGTCCATACTCCCCTCCCTCTGTGCACCCACCAGATGGGTGAGCATATCAGGCATCATCAAGAGAGAGCATTATCATCCCGCCCTACGCCAGTCAGAAAGGTATTAACCGTATAGCCTTGCAGAATTACTCCCGCTATTTTTCTTCCCCGCACCAACGTGAATCCTCCTCATCATATTTTTGCACTCCTCCGATCTCTCCCTTCCCTCAGCATGACGTCTAAACACTTCGGGGCTGTTTCCAGATCAAAGAATTCAATGCAATGTATGTCTTCCCCCCCACATCATGCCGTTTCTTGGGGTTGTTCACAATCTCCCATTCCTTGCTTTGCCCATCATGCCTCACACCCATTGCTTGCTTTAACAAAACCCTTCTCCTCCCCACCCCACACCACCCCATCCAACAGCACACACCCCCGTTTAAAACCAGGGTGTAGTGTTTTTCCAATGTTTTGCAATTAAAAGGTGAATCTGGTTATGATTGGAGTGCGACAAACGAGTAAATCAAAGCTGCGATTTGCTGAAGCCAGCTCACGAGACCCAAGCAGCACCTCACATCAGGATGTCCCCGTGAAATGCAAAACATTTGACATACCTCAATGTGACTTTCGCATCTCACTCCGAGGTCCATCAAATGTTCGGCAAATTCCAAGTTGGTGTGTGCAGAAACTTGTGCTGGTAGCAGCTTCAGTTCCTTGCCTGGCTGGTCTGGAAAAACAAAGCACTGGTGATTTTTGCACGCCTTGAAAACTTTTCATCAGAATTAGCAAGTCGCAAGCCAATAACAGCAGAACACGTTTCACAAGTGTGAAGCATTCAGAAATACTAGACAGTGGATTTAAGGGATATCAAGGCACAGTTTGCTCAGGAGTGCCTTGAGAGGTTCGTGAAGGATGTTTCTGGCCCGCCCCCCCTCCCCCCCCCCCCGCCTTTCCAAAATTTATCCTTCTCCACTCCCCCCTCCCCCCCCCCTCCCCCCCCCCTCCTCTCCTCTTCCCAGAAAATCCTAAGTGTGGTTTGTCTTGTAGTGTGCGTCCTCACATTCCCCGCATTGCCTCACAACCCCCACATTGCTTGTGAAATCCCTAACCCCTTACTCCCCTCTTCCATTTATCCACCCTCTCCCCTCTCTCCCCTCTCCCCTCTCTCCCTTCTCTCCCCTCTATCCCCTCCCTCCCCACTCTCCCCTCTCCAGGGACCTCAAGGTGTGATTTACGTGGGAGCGCATTGAGAGGCTTGTGAAGGAAGGTGCTGGAACAGATGTTGACATACCGGTAGCAGAAAATGCCAGGAAGCTGCTGTCACTGAACTGAGGGTGTTTCTCAATCTAGCATTTGTGAGGTTGGACTATATGAGAGGGGGGCTGGCATGTTACTCCTAGAATCTGCACATACTGGTACCATACCATATGAGGGCGAATCCCTATGGCCTTGCGTCGGAATCACCTCTCGTTAGACGAGAGGTTCGCTGTTTAAGCTGCCTCGCATCAGAAACCGAGGCACATGTGTGTGAAATGCATTTGATTACAAAAGTACATTGATGTGGAATCGAAAGTGTCTTTGCTAATCAGAACCCGCCATTGCAGAGGACTTGAAAGTGTGCGAAGCCAGGGTGAAGCCACAGCACAAGCACATTCCAAGTGAGTTGGAAAACAATATGCACGTTTTGGCATGCACAAAGGTGTGCTGCTATTCAGCGCTTGCTTGTTGCACTGGGACTCGAAAGGTTGCTCCCGAGTGGGTGTCACGCACAAGTCCAATGCAAGGGGTGCAAGTCTGAGCAGTGGTTCAAGCAAAATGACAAGTCTGACGCAAGGTGAGTCTGACGCGAGCCCATAGGAATTCGTCCTAAGTGATCACGTAATGTGCCTCGTGTCTGTCACCATGGATCCTATGCAGATCACACATCCACACAAGGAAATTCTCACTTTACAGTTGTCACTTCATCCGGTAAAGAAGAGTGTATCATCTTAATCTAGAAGCTGCATGTTAAGCCAATTTTGAAGGGGTTCATCAAATGGTAGCCTATTCGGATGTACTAATTCCAATGTTGACAATCCTGGTACGAATAAAGCTAACAGCAAGGCAAGGAAGTGGGAGTCAGACTGAAACGACACCCAAATAGAGCTATACCAGGACACTTCCATTCAGATCACAATGGCAAGGAAAGAACATGGCAGAGCAATGACAATAATTTTAATGCTGGTAACTGATGCTGGAACACCCTCCCCACGGCCAATAAGAATGAAGCAGCAGTGGCACGAGGGGAGTGCACTTCCATTCAGATCACAAGGGCAAGGAAGGAACACAGCAGTGCCACAACCACCTCTGTGATGCTGGCAACTGATGCCCGGGCAGCCTTGCCACTGGCATTGGGGGTTGAAGCAGTTGTGGCAGGAGGAGGAAGAGCAGTGGCAGGCGGGGAGGGTGGGGCGGATTGCAGTGGTGCAGAGATGGCTGTAGGAGGAATGCCTGCCAGAGACGCCTGGGTCCTGCAGTGGCGTTTGGTGGGGAGGGGGGAAAGGGACGGGGGGGCACACGGGGTCGGGCATGATGCGATTTGAGTGGGTTATGAGATGGTTCGAAGGCAGGTGAGGATGGGGGCGGATTGCAGCAGTGCAGACTCTGCCAGCCAGAGATGCCTAGGTCCTGTAGAGGGGGAACATTGGACACAGTGAAAAGTCAAAGAGTGTCACGCAATGGGATGGGAGGGAAGTCAGGTGTGTTGCAGGGCGGGTATTGGGGAGGGGGCACAACTCGTGACCATTGAGTCAGATTGAACGCCACCCAAATACACCAGGCACGGTGTGAAGTTAAAGTGAGTTGCGGGGCTGTCAAGCAGGGCTCCGGCCTGTGAGAGAACCAGGTGGGGACGAGCTGTGAATGTTCATTGAAGAATCAGTGAAGAATCACTTACTGTGCAGGGCAGCCATTGAGGACCGACAGGGGTTTATTCGTGCCAAAGTCAATCTGGCACTGGTGCAAGGAGGGAATGAGCGAGCTCTCCCCCATGCCGCAGACATAGAAGGTGGAGAGGTTACGGCTCGTGGGGTCCATGGCCATTGTGGTGCTGTCTGCACAGAAGTTGAAGCATGCGTTCATCTCTGCACCACCCAGGAACAGCAGGCATGTCGGAGAGAGAGGGGAGGGGGGAAAAGGGGGGGGGGGGGAATGGGATAGATTGGTGATTGGGCTGGTGGGATCCATGGTGAAAGTGTTGTACAACAAGTTGTCGAATGATTCGGAGAAGTTGATGCCTGTAGGCATCCCTGCACCAAGAGAAGCAATTGGAGATAGGGGAGAGAGAGAGAGAGAGAGAGAGAGAGAGAGAGAGAGAGAGAGAGAGAGAGAGAGAGAGAGAGAGAGAGAGAGAGAGAGATAGAGAGAGAGAGAGAGAGAGAGAGAGAGAGAGAGAGAGAGAGAGAGAGAGAGAGAGAGAGAGAGAGAGAGAGAGAGAGAGGATAAGGGTGATTTGTTGAAAGTGTTGTTGTCACAGAATGTGCAGCACTGAAGCAAGACAGTCATCTGTTACAAGTTACCAAGTGAGACATATGAGAAGATTGGCTGCCGTACCTTTGCCCGGCCGTGCGGGGTAGTAAACGAGGTAGTCAATGCACATCTCATCCTCGGTTGACGGACCTCCCATCGTCACCTGCAGCCATAGGTAGGAGCAGCAAGGGGAGGGACACACACATAAGCGAGGGAAGAGGTTACCAGGGGGATCAATAAGAGACGGCAGGCTGGGTTACACAACTCGACAGGAATGTACAACTGCACGAACCGAAGCCAATTTGCAGCAAGGAAACGTGCCATGAGTATTCGCAGCTCAGATACACCTGAGACTGAGGCGGCATGGAATCTTACCTGTGAGCGGCTAGAGGAGTCCCACACGCATTTGGTGTGGAGCTCGTCTCCCAGGAAGAGCTCGTATTCCGGCGAGGTGGGGATGGTCTGCTGCGATGCGAAGTCACTGCGATGGGAGGGGAAGGGAGGAGATAGGACGCAAAGACCTTGTACTCAGGGGCAGTGGAGGTGGCTTGCTGGAATGCACAGGTAGTGGAGGGTAGAGGATGCTGGGGGGTGGGGGATAGAAAGGCGAAGGAATGTGGCCACAGAAATGAACGAGGGAATAGAGGGGGGAGGACGGGAGGGGTGGGTAGGGGGACGGAGGAACGAGAGTAAAGAGGCTTGGTTGGGGCTTGGGGGAAGGAGGGCACTCACTAGTAGTCCAGGCGGTTGATGGTGGCGACCTTGCTGCCGTCCCTGATCACATCTGTGTACATCTGGGCATGGGGGCATCGGGGCATGTGGAACAGAGGTGAGTTGAGGCAAACACATCCCATAGCACATGCTGGGGGGGAGGCAGTAAGATTAGAAGCGCTCACTGGGATATGAGACGGCAGCAAGGTTGCCCCCAAAAGCGCTTGGTTGCTGTAGGGGATGCAGTAAGATTGCTGAAAAGTGCAGCCCTAGCCTGGCATGCAAAAAATTGCAGGGGGCTGTCACCACAGAGTGTGTGCAGAAGGCCTCCCACTGAGACCTACCTATCGCCCAAGAGTATGCAGATGGAGCACAGAGCCAATGATCTTCACACTCTCGTTCTTGAACACGGCCTTGGTGCATGCACCTGGGCATGTGCTGACTTGGGTCCAAGAGGGCATGCCGGGTGGGATGCGAATGAGGTTGTCGTAATCCGCAGGCCCGACCAGCATGATGGACGCGTCCATGGGGCGCGGGGTGGGCGCCAGCTTCAGATAGATGCCCGAGTTGTCAATGATGTTGGCACGGGCGGCGGGATTGGTGTAGTGCACCTGGGAAGCACGCATGGGCAATATGGAAAGGCGGCACCTTCTTAGGATTCTCAAGAATGTATGGGCTAACATGGAAAGCAAGCAAAGCAGAGGTGGAGTGAGTTTTTTGCAATGCATTGCACCCACCTGCAGCACGAACTTGGTGAAGTAACCCGGGCCAATGGGGTATCCCACGTTGTCAGGGAGCGTGAAGGGCCTCCCCCCCACAGCCCACATGGCGACAGTGGTGCCGCAGGGATTGTCGTTAGCCAGACAGTCAAAGACACCATGCCGGGAGGAGGGCAGCCGGGCGTAGTCCTCTCTGGTGGGTGGTGAGGGGGGGGAAGGAGGGGAAGTTATGGGATATGGGATGAGGTGTGGGAAATGGGGTGAGATGTGAGAGATGGGTTTTGCGAGGAGGAGATGGGGTGAGGTGTGGGAGATGGGGGGTTTCGGGAGGTGTGGGAAATGTGGTGCTAACAAGATAGGAGATGCCAGACCATAAAAGGAAGTGTGCTACGAATGATTTTTCCCGTAGGCTTCTAGCAAAGGGAGATTGAACGGTAACGTGTGCCACTTACGGCTTGCAGCCGTAGATGAGAGCATGATGGACGGTAGAGATGTCAGTAGAGTTGAGCACCGCCCCCCACTCGACTGCATGTGTCTTGGTTGTTTGGGGGATGTCCACAACCTGCAGGCATGAGAGACAACTGCAGGCATCACAGATGAGTACCAAACACAGGAAATCAAGAAAAAAATACAAGGTCTGAAAATGCAGACATGAGGAATGGCATATGAATGAGCCCGTGCATGAGGAAGGCAAAGGAACTGGCATACAAAAGAGCATGTGCCATGAGTGTTGCCGTAAGGGGCACTTTGCTTTCCTGCAAATGCATACCTTGCACATGTATGTGGTGTGGTTGGTAGGCACGCGATAGCCCGTGAACGTGAAATTGAGCATGCTTTGCTGCTGCTGCTGCTGGTGCTGCTGCTGCAGGTTCTCCATGTGCTGCTGTGCAGCTAAACGCCCCATTCCTCGAAGAGAAGTGGAAGCAGCAGCAGTAGCAGCGGAGACGAAGCCTCCTGAGGAGGGCGGTGGGGGTGCAAGGATCGAGGGTCCGGGAGCAGGAGCGAGCACAAGAGACGCAGCCCCGCGGGTGGAGCCGTGGTAGCTGACGTCATCAGTAGGGCCCGTGGCCCAAATGACGTTGTGCAGCTTCCCTGTCACAATGGGCCGGTCGTTGCAGTCGCCTGTGTCCAGTAGGCGCCACACATGCACGGTGGTCCACGTGTCACCCATGGATTGGTTGGTGGCTTGGCTGCCGCCCAAGACGTGCCAATCCTGCTGGGCGTCCAATGCAACCCCGGTGCTTGATTTGTTGAAGATGAAGCGATCTGTGGTGAACACGCGGGCTTCAGAATCTGCGACCCATGCCACCAGCACGTCTGTTCAGAGTGGAACATGGGAGGTGGAGAATATAAGTGACATGCGGAGGAACATTTAGACCTGTCACAGATTCTATGTCAAAGTAGTACTTTGCAGAATTAGCACCGAACGTCTGGATTTCTTACCCGAGCCAACCATGGAGCCGATTTCAGAGAATCCTATAGCAAGCCATCCAGTTGTTTTGGTTCTGATCGCCATGTGGATGGTCGCGTCGCTGCTGTTGACAGTCTAGAAGAGCTCGAAGCGCGGATCCAATAGCGCCACGTTGGAGTAGGAGGAAAGCTCAGGAAGAGAAACCGCAGTGCCGATTCCCTCTGTGGTGGCATGCGAATGGATAGAATAGCTGGAGATGAGAGCCATGAGGAGTAGAAAACGCGCTGCTGAGGGCGAAGCAACGAAGACTGGTCGCTTGACCGCCATCATCATGACAGAAATTGTTGTGAAAGGCTGGGAAAATGAGTTTCAATGCGTTGCAACAAAGAGCGAACACGTTCGTCTGAAACGATGTGGAGAGTGTGACGATTTAATTTCTCAAGAACCCAAGACCGTCCGAGCTAGTAGCTTTATGCTCCTCTTCTGAAGTGGAACACCAGTTGGCGTTGGGCAGATGTGGTGGCTGGCTGGAGCGGGAGGGGGCTTTCTGTGGGAGATCTATGTCGAGCCGCGATGCAGATGGCTGAATTGAGACAGAGACTGGGCTTAATTGCGCGGCTCGGTAAGACCGCGTCTTCAATTAACATTTTCTACCCATTTTGCTAACGATCCGGGCAACCCCAAACTCGGATAACATGTTCTAAGCGCGAGTCGGGAAATGTGAAAGTTATGGAATTTGAAATTGTGTGAACTGTATTCGGGATTTCGTGGCTGCCCGTGCATTAATAGCTAGGTCAACCTCGCAAGGTTTTGTCCAGCCCCACACGCAGATGTTCGAAATCTCGTTAGGTTTAGTGGAGCTTGTCCAAGAAAACGTTGTCGTTAAAAACCCCCTTGTCTTAACATTTTAGGACTTTTGCATTTGAATGTAGGTGCTTAAAAAAACCCGAACGCAGCTTGGAGTTCGCGGGATGTCGTTGTTTTGGTGGAGCTCACATCTCACTGCGTTTTGCTGGAAAACAGGATCTAGGACGGGATCCTATGAATTTCTGCCGATAATCTAAAAACTTTGGCACGTTTTGAGAAACTGTTTTGGCTGACACTGTGGAATCTGGGCGGATGCAAACGAGTTTTACGCGGGAGAACACGAGAGTCCGTGGATTCTCATGAAAACTCATGCCCCTAAGCTCAACTTGCGCCACTAGTTAAATACCACTCGTAACTGGATAGCCTTGTCATCATTTCGGGCCATCATTTTGGGCAAAGGAAACATGAGAGTTCGTAGAAAAAAACGCGGTTACTAAAAAACGCATTTCCCGACTCGCGCGTAGAAAATCTTTATCCGAGTTCGGGGTTGCCCGGGCCGTGAGCAAAACGGGTAGAAAATGTTAATTGAGGACGCGGTCTCTTCGAAAAGCGCAATTCTGCCCAGAGACTGCGTCTCGGCTCTCAAATTGCTGTGCAGATGTGGTGGAATTTACTGATTGGTGGCGTGGTTTGCAGAGAGGCGCCAACGAAGGTTCGCGCAAGTTTGCCGTGCCAGCATGGCAGTAGAGCTGAAGTTCTTGATCACTTCGCATGACGTGGATACGGAGAATCAAGTTGCCACATGTATCCTGACGAGAGCGGTAACAATTCGTCCGCTCGCTCGCGAACATCACAGCGTCACCAGTGATGTCATTCGAAACTTCGACGAAATGCACTGGAGTGAGTAGTTCCGCCTGAGGAGCCTGGAGGCTGTTCGTTGGCCAATTTTACAGTGGCATGGAGAGGGAGTCCTAGCATGCGGAACATAAAACGAGGGCTCGTTGGGTCGCTGAAAGTTTGGTGCGACGCATTACGTCATCATGCGACGGTTTGGGAAGAGTTGGCGATTTCCAAACCTCAAACTCCCAAGTCGCGTGCCTCCTTCCCATTCCCCCCAAAAGCGTACAAAATTCGCCAGCCACAGCTCAGGGGCAAACTTCGTGCCATTCCCCCCACACAACTCATACCACCAAGGTCGTGGTATGAAGCCAAGGGGGATCGGCATGGCCCGTAGAGCTGGCCAGTGCACTCGCGTTTGATTGGCCAAATCCATTTTGAATGGTCGGGTTCCTTTTTCGTAGAAGGTCCCCACCTCTGGGAGGTGTCACTGTACATCGTCGGCAAGTTGTTTTACTCGTTTCTGCAAGCTTGACTGCTGCAATCATTTAACTTGACTGTCTTGACTTCCGGTCCGCGCGGGCACAAATATATTTATCGATTACGTTCGGCCACGTAACTTCTGTTCGCCCAGGAGACTGTCGCCTGTGCCACTCCTCGTGCTCGTTCCCCTTCCTGTAAAAAAAATCAGCGAACGGCCCCCTGAAGCAAGAGTGTAATGTTCGATAATTCGCTATTTGTTAATGCTACGAAACCTCATTGCACTAACTGCTCTTGGTTACTACTACTCACAATGCCACGCCTCGTAATGAGCAAACCATCCACAAAAAGTTATGTGCATGCTATGCATGCAACATATTTGAATGTATAACCGAATTCAAGGCACACCAACCTATAACGATTAAGCATCGGGGGGCATTAAAAAGCAGCTTAAAACCACAGGCTAAAATAGCATGGGGGGTGGGGAAGGGGGGGGGGGGGGGGGGGGAGGGAGGGGGGCTTCAAGAGCGCCGTTCTTGAATATGGTATTTTGGGGGGGGGGGGGGGGGGGGGGGGGGGGGGAATGGTATGCCCCTAAACGAAACATTTTTTCAAGAGCTCCGCAGGTATGCTATTCTAGCCAGTGGTTTTAAGATATACATCTGGTTGAAATGAGAAAGCTACATGTTGAAGGTTGTTTAGCTACTTAGCATTCTTGAAGTTATGTGATACCTGTTGAGAGGAGTAAGAAGCTAGCTAGGCATGAGAAATGGTGAGAGGTTTTAGCTGGGGAGAAAAGCGACGACAGAAAAGGGAGATGGACTAGAAGAGAGAGAGATACAAGAAGGGTGTTGTACAGGGTCCTCGCTAGGATTTCATCCCGTCTGAAAGTCAGACTGGGTTTTTTCGCTTCGTCTGACCATCAGACGGAAATTTTGCAGCAGTCTGAACTTCCAGACGAAACAGATTGAGACGTCTGAAATTTCAGACGGAAAATTACGCTACATCACACTTAATTTTGCCTTGGAATCTCCACGCAGTACTGACTTTCTGTCGAGTTCCTGAACTTAGGCGATGCAACTTAGTTTGTACAAAGTGGTTCGAGCGAGTGCGCGTGGGAGGCAAAAAGAACTGGGGGTTGTGAGAATCAAATTTGCAAAGGCGGGAGGGAAATCGGCACCATCCAGGTGGGAATTTTGTGAAGGGTCAATGGGCGCCCTCGCACACACAGCCCCCCCGCAGACAAAGCCTACAGCGCACATCGGCAAAAAAAAATTCACACCGCCCCCAGCACAAACTGGGAGGTAATTTTTGTGAAGGGCCAGTCATTTCCCTCACCCTTCAGCACAGCATACACTGGCCTCTGATTTTGGTGAAGGGTCAGATAGCACCCTCACGGAGACCCCCAGCAAGTATCGGGCCCTGATTTTGGCTAAGGGCCAATCAGCGCTCTCATACCACAGGCCTGCAGAAAACGTTTCCAGACGAAAGAATATGCGATGTCTGCAGACTCATACGAAATATTAGACGCAGCCTTAAATTTCAGACGAAAATAAAACATTGCTCTTAACGATCAGACGAATTTTTCAGGGTTGTCTAAATTTTCAGATGAACCTAAAAAATCAGGTCTGAAAATCAGACCATCAGACCGATTTCGTCTGATAAAAAGGGCCCTGGTGTTGTACCCTCTACAATAAGATCCAGCAATTTGTAGGACACCTACCGTAATCCCCCGGATATAGGTGTTAAATTATATGTGTTTGTATATAATTGTAGGCTTGGTAGACGTTACTGAACATTACTGTAGTGGGTACAACACCCCTCCTTGTATCCCTCTCTCTTCCTAGTCAGTCATCTCGTCAACTTTTCCTCCTAGCTCTCGACCTCCTAAAACCCCTCGCCATTTCATGGCGTCTTAGTTTGACTTTTACATGGTTTCAGAGCAGGACGCCCTTCCCGGGCCTGCTCTCCACGCTTCCGCTGCGTACCCGTCCTTACTTGGTCGCCGTCGCGACCTTCTGTTTGCCTGCCACCGTGGCACATTTTCCGAGATGCCGCGGCGGCCTCTGTGTGCTGTCGTCTCAGCGTCGACGAGCACCCGCGGCTCCGACGCCACGCTGTGGTGGCGTCGAAGTGGTGCTGTGGCGGTGTCGTTGGCCTATTGCCGTCGCGCACCACCTGCGTCGCTGCTGGACTTGCAGCCCGCCCGCATGCCAATAAGCGCCGCGCCAGCAATGGCGCCGCGCTGAAGATCCGAAGCCCCGCCCCTTCCCCCCTTCCCTCTGTCTCCTCCTCTTCGCCACAGCCGCTGCCAAACTCTCGCCGGTCGTCCCCCCGTTGCGGAGTTTGGACATGCCGCCGAAAGGGCGGGGTCCGCTGCTGTTACCGCAGTTGTAAGCCGAAGCTGTTGCCGTCACCGCTGTCGTCGCCGCAGGCATGTTGCCGCCGCACGCCGCCGTCGCCGTCGCTGTCGCCGGTGCCGGGAGTGCCGCCGTCGCCATCTCCAGGGCCTTGGGGTTGGCCCTGCTGGAGTAGTCGTGGCTACTGGGAATGGGGGTGCTAGTTTAGGGGGTGTGGGGTTGTGTGGGTCCTTGTGCTACAGTACCAAGCCTAGGGGGTGTGTTAAATTATATATGTTCGTATATAATTATAGGCTTGGTAGACGTTACTGAACATTACTGTAGAGGGTACAACACCCCTCCTTCTATCCCTCTCTCTTCCTAATCAGTCCTCTTTCCTCTCGTCAACTTTTCCTCCTAGCTCTCGACCTCCTAAAACCCCTCGCCATTTCATGGCGTCTTAGTTCCTAGTTTGACAATAGGTGCGTCCCTTTATTTGGCCCACTGGGCTTATGGAGTGCAAGTGCGCCTATATCCGTTATTTGATTATAAGCGCACCCATATTTTTGAAAATGTATTTCGTATAGGCGCATCTATTTTTTGTAAAACAATCGTTGAAACGCGGATTTTTCATATCGTCGTAACCCCCCTAGCACCTCCGAAACCAGATGCGCACTGTTCGCTCCCTGCCTTGGCTCTGATTGGCTGGAAAATTCAGCCCATCGCAGGGTAGATTTGCTGGCAGAAACTTCGTGAGCCATTTCTTCAAGAGATGTCAACAGTCCGCCCAGAGGAAACAAACGCGCTAGAACACAAATGTCAAGAGCTACATTTTTATGTGCTCAAATTCATTTTCCATAAAATCCCTTAGTTAAGCCCTGGGCTTATATTTTTTCTTCGATTACAAGCGCATGCCACTTTTGCCAGGTATTTCCTATAAGCCCCTATGCGCCTTATCCGGGGGA